TCAGTCAAGTCAAAAAAGTATTTATTTAGTAATAAGAACAACCTATTTTGTTATTTTTGAACTTATGCCTAGGTTTTATTCTTTTACTGTTACCCCTGTATTCATTTCAAATGATTGATTATCAAATATATTTTTAGTCTCTTCTTCTGATTTGAGGTTAGTAAAACACAGTTTTCATATAGGAAGAATAAAGCGATTCATTGTACAGCTTTTGTTCGGTATGCTAGCTGAAGAATGTTGAAGTGTATTGGCATTGATAGGTGTACATTTGGTACCCATAGAGATACCAATGAATTTCTGAAAAACTTCCCTTGGAAATGTTTTCTATGATAAGCTATACACAGTTCCACTAACAATGAGTAACTCTCTTTAACTTCAATCAATCATTCAATCTCCATGCTTGCTGTAGTAATGATAATGCTCTATTAATTCTCAATGGTTAAAATCTATAGTTTATTTACATATGCTTTTGTTATAATTAATGACATGAAAAACAAAATGTGTGTCCAGCCAAACTGAAACTTTTAATTAAATTAAAGTACAGTAGTTTTTTAACGGTAGTTTTTTAATAGGAATGTAACTCATGAATCAATGCCCATCATGGTTTGAGCTTGAAACAAGTTGAAATTGATGGCATTAAACAAATGTGCACTCAAATGAAGTTTGTAGATCGTTAGTAAAATATGGTGTGGTGGAAAAATCAGGTGAAGCGTCTGCTAATAGGAAGTTTACTCAAGCTGAAAGTGTTGATTGAACATAATACGTTTTCTAGGTATGATCAATCAAATAGAAAAGATCAATTCAAATCACGGAGCCATTATGTGGGCTCAATCGATTTACATGTATTCCATCAGTAAATGAAATACCTTTCAGTTTATTCGTTGCAAGTTGTGTGTATAGCAGTATTAAATAGATAACAATAAAATATTATCTATTATATTATGGCTTTAGTAATGAAGATGATATTAACTCTAGACCAATATAATATATAAAAAATAGAGGAATTTATTGTTTGTCTGTATAACACATTGTGAATGTTATTAATGCAGAAAAAAACCCAAACCCACTACATTTCTATTCAGAAATAATGTTATATATGATATAGTCTGGGTTCAATTTGATGAGTATGCACAAAATATATTGTCAAATTGACATATTTACTATTTGATAATCATCTTAAGTCTATTCCTATTCACTTCTCAAAGAACAACACTAGGAAAATATATAAATTATTTGTGCATCCCTTTCTTCTTTTTATATATAACACTCATCCTTTTTTGGGGAGGATAAGTTACATTTTTGTGGCAAAATATAACGTTTAAAGAATGGAGAAGAGTTTGAGGAGAAGGAGAAGTGGTATCAATAATCACTATAGTTACGGTTGTAAGAAATGTTATGTCATCACCTAGTAACACTAACGTAGGCTAGAATCAATGGATTAAATTCCTTTATTAATACACAAATCTTGTTGTGCATCACCATACATTTTCTATGGTAGACAAATTGTGCTATTGTAATTTTGAAGATGGAGTAATGTCTAAGATCTATTGTTACGTTGATGGTGTGGAATCAGGAAAATAAACATTATTAAAAGGTTGGGTTTCTATCTCAGCTGTTAATTATAGACTGACAACTAGTCAATTGATGCCCAGCTTATTTATATAGCAGTATTCTAGTGCCGGTAACATACTGCTTTAGTCTAAGAACAGTATAGAATATTTATAAAAACTAACTCTTGTTTTTTTTATAAATTCAGCATGACTTTGATATCCGGGGTTCTTGGTGATGTCTTTGTGTAGGCTAATGTCAGTGGTATTTATATATTTACCAAATTTAGAAATCTGGAAGCTATATTCATGTAATGTGAAAAATAATAGAGTATGGACTGCATTATACATACACCTAGGTGTAGGTAGTGGGAAATAGCAAAACAGGTAGTAACTTATACACACCGTGAGCATGTGTTTAGAGAGATTCTACGTAGGTACTGCCTATATATTTTTACTTGTGGCAGGTGTGAGGCATTGCCAAGCATTCCAATATGTTCCCAACAGGATATCAATATCTTTCTATTGAAGTTTAGATGAAAAACTGTAAATAGATCTTCTCCTCATCTTGTGGTCTGGAAACTAAATCTCCGTTCTATCGGACGTTTTCGATAATTTATTTTGGAGTGTGAAAATCCAGCTCATAATGAATAATATGTATCTGTCAGTGACCAGACAGTTGGTGTGTTGGACTTTAAATGTCAAGGACGTTTCCAGTTAATATTGGTAGTTTTAAGGGACTTTTGTTTTTTGAAGAATTCTGTATGTTGGAAGGACAGAATTGTAAAAATGTCTGCAGACATCATCAGTCTGGTGACAGCTCTAACAGCTGTGATGTCACTGGCTTTTCTCAGTTTTATTGCCTGTATTCTTACATTTGGAATATGGATATTAAAAACAGTAAATATATTTTGATTGTATTTAGTAGTATAAATTTGAATTTAGAAAACAAATATAGTTTATGTATATGTTACTTAATTTCTGTCCTTACCAGAATGTTTGCAAATTAAATTCTGTTTGTTTTCGGAAACAAGAATTCCGACAAGCTCTACTATTTTTTTTCCCTACACAATGATTTCAAAAACAAATGGAAAAATAATCACAAAAATCAAGCAAGTTTGACTCCTTTAAAGATGAGTCCCAGCGTCAAAACATTTTATGCTAAACTTATTCAATCACATTTGCTAGTGCTCAAGGTATAATATCTAAATCAGTGACAAATTCCTTTTGACAAATTTCATCAAATGATTCAACACAGTCCAAGTCAAAGTATATGTTGTAGCTATCGTATTTTAGGTATGTGATCAGTTACAAATTTTGAGTAGATATAACTTTTAAAGAGGTAGGGAGAGAGGTTTTACATAGGCTATGCCTGTTCCCAATCCCATTCAGACATCCTGAATAAAAATATTGTTTATAAATAAAAGAAAAAAAAGAGGTAGCCTGAGATTTCATTGGGTAGTCATTGATAAAAGTGTGTTTAAAAATACCTACCAATGCACAAATTGTGTGATTTGATGATGTATTTGGACTAAAAACATATTCAAACTAATTTATCTATCAAAAAGTTGCTTCAAATCCCTCTCAAAAATTTTAATGGAAAGGAAAGTACTCCAATCAATTTTAAGCAATCTTGTTTGTTATTTGACTTGACTGGGAAGAATCCATTTTTGGTTTGTTTTAGTTGTTAGTCGCAGTCCATTTATCATAAATATCGAAGCCTAAATATCCTTGGATTATCCTCTACTAACTTCCTTTTCCCCTGTTTAATCGAGACTACTAGACGTTTAATTCCCTCAATGTTCTCAGAACTGTTAGCCATTTTCATGAGACATGCTGTCGATTAAGGACACCCTTATATTTTTGTCGTTTGTGCGTCCCATGGTGTGTGTCCCATGGGTGTTTTTCACGGAATCTGTTTTTTTTCTAGTAGGATTGTGTGTCTCTACTTTCCATATATACCACAAAGATCCATACTTTTATTGGAAATAACTACCGGATAAATACTTTTGTGGTAATGTATCATTAAGACTGCAAATTTAATGCCAAATTGTGAAAATACAACCCAGTTGCCTTGTATAGAATATTAAGAAATGATAGCTAGGAGTGCTTAACAGGATACATGGTTATTCGTAAATTTACCATGAATCCCATATAAAAACCTTTCCCTATTCACTGATATAAACAAAAATTGGCAGAAAATTTTACAAGTTTTTAAATTGTTTGATATAACCTTTTTTTATTGGCTACAGCTACTAATAGTAATGACCGGTCAAATCATACTTGTCTGCTTCATAAGGAGGTACTGGCTATGTATAGATAATTTGTCATCTCACCAAAGATGTGATGATTATATTAGATTAACATGTCAGCGAAGATAATTATATTAAATTAACATGTCAGTATAAAGTGTAGTTACAAAAATAGACCAGTCTGACAATCTTGTGACAGACAAAAAGCTAAATCCCAGCATTAGGCATGCAACCTTACTGATTCTCTTACAATCATGTACATATACATACACTCATATATTGTAAGTTTTCTTGCTGAAAGACCTGTGATTTGAAGCTGAACTCTTTCACCCAATCTACCATAAAAATGTAATATGAACTATTCAGATTTGCAGTATTGAATTCAATTTGTATAAATGACTTGCAGTCCTATATGCATAGTAGTTTATTTTAAGCCTTTAGCTAAACACGCAAAAATCCAGATTGTTCACATCAAAAGTCAAATTCAAAAGTAATGGTGGTGCCATTAGTGACATTACAAAGACATTCTTCAATTGAGGGTGTTGCATGAACTGGGAGTGGGATGCCTTGAAATTTGGTTTAATTGTTTGAAGTAGTTTGCTAGTTGGTGTGTCATTGTTATCTGTCTATAGTTGATATACAGAAATATTGGGAAGTCCTTGATTTCACAAGACACCATAAATAAAAGTGGGCGTAACTATGTATACCAAACGCTATATAATGTGGGGATATAGCCTGTTTACACTGTTCAAATCATAATAATGAACTGTTTGGAAATGATGGCTACATTTGTTCAACGGGGTTATATAACTCATTTAAGGAATTTTTATTCTTTAACTGTATGGTAATTGTAATGATCACTCACCATAATAACTCTAGCAAGTATACAGACATGGTAATCCAGGCACTTAATTAAGGTACACTGGATTTTGAGGACCTCCAGATGGAAACTTTTGTATTTAAGACAGCTGCACAGAATTAACCCGTTTTAGTCACTGAAACACATTTAGGACTATTCATTTAAGATAGGATAGATTATATAGCAATATAACAAAGTGATCATACTTCAAGCTACAAGACCAACATTGTTCTGGTCATGTTTTTAATAGCTTGAGATTGGTGGAAGAAAGTTGAGGACTTAGAATTAAAGCATTTTTGATTGAATGATTATTGTTATGTTTCTCATGTTTTATTTTAACAGACATATGATTCTGAAGTACAAAGACATCAAAGAGAAGCAGAGACTATGAGATCTATTAGAGGAGAAGAACTACAGTTACAGACTCGACACAACCTTCTTCAATTAACAGCTTCTCCTAGTAACACCGCACACATAACATCTTTATTATCAGAGCAGTACAGACAAAAATTACTAGAAGAAAAGAAACAACTGGAAAAAAACAGGAATACAATGTCAAGTTTTAAAGGCAGCATCAACTTTTCTAAATTACCTGAATATGATGAAAAACTAAAGGTATACACCTAACCTTTATAATTATTCTAAATTTCAATTCTTGTTTTAAATCCTCATCATCATCATCATCATCATCATCAACTTCCATGACTATAAGTACCCAAATGCACTTTGCAAAAAAAAAAACAAAGAAAAAAACAAACTCTAATAGAGTAAATAACATTATCAATTATTACAGCAGTAATAGGTTAAAAAGTAATAGAAAAGATTAAGCCTACCATGCCCCATTCATGAATATTGGAGGCTATGGAGCTGTCAACAAGAGTAATCAACAGTTTAGCAAAACTGTATCACATGATTTAAAATGGGGAGCATCATCAACTAGTACTGATTTAGTTATGTTGAATGCCTCTATATTAGTCTACCAGATCTCATTAAAACAACCAGCCACAAACAGTAATGTCGACCTCCAGAAATCACAGGTGTGGAACCAATCACGTCAGAAATATTATAAGGCTTATACAAATTATGACCCAACAGAAATCAGATGAATTCTACCAGGGCTAATAACAATTTAAGTATTGAATACGATAGTCTTGGTTTCACAAGGATGGAAAGCAACAGACACTTGACATTTCACGATTAAATTGGGTATGTGATTGATATGACAGAGATCAGCGGCCAATAAAACGTTGAGTACAAAACAATTTAATTCTGGAACAGACTGTAGGCAATCTGTAGATTTATGCTTTAGAATAATGCCTGCAAGGATGCATGTCTCTCTGTTAATTCTGGCTTTCAAAAAAAAAAATGTTGGACTAAGTGCATTATGCATCTTTGTAGGATGTAAAGACAGAGATACACAAGTCTGTAACTTCAATACAAGAACTGGAGCGACAGAAATTAAATGTTTTATCTCAAGCCAATTCAGATGAAGCTGCTAGGATTCAAGAGTTACTTTCATTGCTGAAAGAAGAGAAATTTGAAGCTTTAAACTGCTATGAGGAAACAAATGAGTGAGTCTTCTGTAACATTCCTTTAAATCTACCATAGCTGACAAAACAGGAGAGGAGTTATTCATTAATGAACTTTTCTTCTTGCATAAACTTCTCCTTTATCTTTATTACAAGTGAAACTTCTTCTCTTCTCTACTCTTCCCATTCGTGATACATGGTTTTTGTACTTTAGACTTTTCTTAGGCTCACATTCTGTCCACCTGTGCATTTTTGGATATCCTGACATTAGGAAGCTATAGCCAATCTCTCCTGGTCTAAATATTTTAAATGAAGTGTGGACATGTTACTCCTCCTTTTTATACGCCCACATTTTCATGTGGACGTATATTGTCGTCGCCCCTGTCCGTCCGTCCACAATTGTTTGTGAACAGTCTACAGGTCACAATTTTTATCCGATTTCAATGAAACTTGAAATATAGGTTTATCACCCTAAGATCTCAGTTCCTTTCGATATTGGCATCTATTGAACCATAACTACATGGATTATGGCCCCTGATTGTACGAAAAATCACGTTTTTGGCTTGTGAACACTGTAGAGGTCACAATTTTTATCCGATTTTGTTGAAACTTGAAATGTAAGTTTAAAACCCAAAGATCTCGGTTCCTTTCGATATTCGCGCATATCGGACCGTAACTTCCTGAATTATGGCCCCTGATTGTACGCAAAAACGCGTTTTTTGGCTTGTGGACCCTATAGAGGTCATAATTTTTATCCGATTTAAAAAAACATATTATTATATCACCGTTAAACCCTAAGGACGGTTGAGTTCGAATTTCGTGAAAATCAGCCCAAAACTGACAGACAAAATGGTCGCCATTCGTTCTCAAATAGCGTAAAAATATGGTATATCAAGGTTGTGGAACCTATAGAGGTCACAATTTTTTTCCGATTTTGTTGAAACTTGAAATGTAAGTTTATAACACAAAGATCTCGGTTCCTTTCAATATTCGCGCATATCGGACCGTAACTTCATGAATTATGGCCCCTGATTGTACGAAAAATCACGTTTTTAGCTTGTGGACCCTATAGAGGTCATATTTTTAACCGATTTAAAAAATCATATTATTATATCACCGTTACACCCTAAGGACGACTGAGTTCGAATTTCGTGAAAATCGGCCAAAAACTGACAGATAAAATGGCCGCCCTTCGTTCTCAAATAGCGTAAAAATATGGTATATCAACGTTGTGGACCCTATAGAGGTTACAATTCCTATCCGATTTTGTTGAAACTTGAAATGTAAGTTTATAACCCAAAGATCTTGGTTCCTTTCGATATTCGCGCATATCGGACTGTAACTTCCTGAATTATGGCCCCTGATTTTACGCAAAAACGCGTTTTTTGGCTTGTGGACCCTATAGAGGTCATAATTTTTATCCGATTTAAAAAAACGTATTATTATATCACCATTAAACCCTAAGGACGGTTGAGTTCGAATTTCGTGAAAATCGGCCCAAAACTGACAGACAAAATGGCCGCCGTTCGTTCTCAAATAGCGTAAAAATATGGTATATCAAGGTTGTGGACCCTATAGAGGTCACAATTTTTATCCGATTTTGTTGAAACTTGAAATGTAAGTTTATAACACAAAGATCTTGGTTCCTTTCAATATTCGCGCATATCGGACCGTAACTTCATGAATTATGGCCCCTGATTGTACGAAAAATCACGTTTTTAGCTTGTGGACCCTATAGAGGTCATAATTTTTATCCGATTTAAAAAATCATATTATTATATCACTGTTACACCCTAAGGACGACTGAGTTCGAATTTCGTGAAAATCGGCCAGAAACTGACAGATAAAATGGCCGCCCTTCGTTCTCAAATAGCGTAAAAATATGGTATATCAAGGTTGTGGACCCTATAGAGGTTACAATTTCTATCCGATTTTGTTGAAACTTGAAATGTAAGTTTATAACGAAAAGATCTTGGTTCCTTTCGATATTCGCGCATATCGGACTGTAACTTACTGAATTATGGCCCCTGATTGTACGGAAAATTGCGTTTTTAGCTTGTGGACCCTATAGAGGTCATAATTTTTATCCGATTTAAAAAAACGTATTATTATATCACCGTTACACCCAAAGGACGACTGAGTTCGAATTTCGTGAAAATCGGCCCAAAACTGACAGACAATTGGCCGCCCGACGTTTTCAAATTGCGTAAAAATATGGTATATCAAGGTTGTGGACCCTATAGAGGTCACAATTTTTATCCGATTTTGTTGAAACTTGAAATGTAAGTTTATAACTCAAAGATCTTGGTTCCTGTCGATATTTACGCATATCGAATTGTAATTTCCTGAATTATGGCCCTTGATTGTAGGAAAAATCACTTTCGTTTTAGCTTGTTTTCTATCCATCTCTCGAAAATGTGGGCGTATGCTGCCTGGCAGCCGCTGGTTATATGTCTACATGGAAATGTGATTGTATACTACTGTCACACCTATCTGTTCCGTCATCTACACGTGGCAAACTACATTTATCATCCAGTCTTTTTACAAATTCATAGATGTTATTTATATTTGTGAACCTATTGAATTTTAACAATTTGTGTTAATTACTTGTAAGGTTATGGCCCTTGTTGATAAGGATTGTTCAAATTAGAGAAGTAAAGGAGCCTATGGAAGTTGAATTATTCCATTATATATTTCCATATTTATGGCCCTAAACTTTTTTTTTTTATTATTTACCTAAAGATTCAAAATGTGACAACCTTTGTGGACTGCTCAAACAATCTAGTAGGGTAGATGAGATGTATCTTTGAAAACAAAATTGCTAGAGCAATTGTGGAGCATAAAATGAAAAAATTAAGAAATATGCAATTTCCCCATACCCACTCCATTCCCCCCCCCCCTCACTTCCTTCCCCTCTAATTTGCATAATTGTTGCCATTATAGACATTTCCAATAATGATAAGTCACTATTTATTCAATTTGAAATATAATGAAATTATAGTAAGTAAAGAATTTAGCAGATTACCTCAATAACTGCTTATAATGAACCAAAGTAGTTTCGCATACACACCCTCAGAGATCCTGCTTATATCACTGACCACTTTATAATTTTACTAACAAACTATATTTAACTGTCTTTGGTCTGTTTGTTCAGGAAATGGTGTAGCACCAAAGAACTGTGGCAAGAATTTCAGAACGACTTTCAATTATTTTGGAACTGGATGTCAAAAGCAGAACATTCTCTATCAGAAGCAGACGAAAAGAGGCATGAAGCTACCAGATCCAAAGTATATGATGTTAGTGTTTACTTATTTTAAAAATTTGTCACTTTTGTTGTGTGCTGTTGTTCAAGAGTTCGCTATTTGTCATTTGATATACATACATGTATGGGCAGGACATTTACCCAGAAGACAGCTTGTTAACTGGTGCATCATTTTGCACGTAAGATCACTGAAGATATTTTAACTTTCACCAAACAGCTACTTCTTCTCCTCGGAGATGTTTAACATCTGCTCCCACTGTTACTAATGATATCGCAGACAAATGCTTGTTAATGGTCCCAAAACAGTTAACTGATACATGTTCCATTAAAAAAAATTTATTTGCACCAAGCTACACAGAAAGTAATACAACAGACATTAAATGTCTGATACATTAATAAACTGGGGGGATGCCAATGTGCAACCAGCTCTCTTCTTTAAACAAAATATTTATTTCTATGGACATGTTTCACCTGCATGGTTTGCAATTTTTTGCATGAAAGTTTGTGTTTTCCTTCTGAAATAGAACATATGTACCAAGTTTAGTAGGTCAGAAAATAAACAACCTTAAATAACAATTTAGAAGAGCTACTTTGTATATTTATAGGATAAAGGTATTCTTGCACTTGACTTGTTATTACCAAAGTACAAAATATGGTTTTATCACAAAAATGAGCAGATGTGGGAACTTGAGTCAGTCAATGACCTGAATTACGACTCGACTTGAAATATTTATTGCAACTCGAGACTTGACTTAGACTCAGTAGTCGTGATGACTTGCGACTAGAAAGAGCTTAGGACACAAGTCATGGTGAGAGGACATAACTCTAACTTACCTTATTCGCCATGAATTGGTGACTCATTTGATGAATTGGCGACCTGAATGGAACTTGGGGCTTTGTGAAGATTTCTGACTTGACTCAACTTGGTACTAAAGTCAGTGACTTGAGACTCGATTCAGACTCGACATGCAGGAACTTGAGACTCAACATGTGGGAACTTGGACTCGACTTGAACTGGACTAGGGATTTGTGTGAAGATTTTGGACTTGACTCAACTCAGTACTAAAATCAGTGACTTGAGACTCGACTCAGACTCGATGTGCAGCAACTTGGACTCGATTCAGACTTGAGGTTCTGCGACTTGTCCCCACCTCTGAAAATGCGAATAGCTTATCAGGAGGTCTAGTTAGACATAGTTGTCTAATCATAAACCTATATTGTAGACAATAAGCTTTATAGTGCTACAGAATCTAAGATCCCAATACTTGCTTGAAAACATTGAGGTAATACTCTTCGAAACAACGCACAAATAAATTAAGTAATTGTTCTTCCATAAGTATGTGTTATAAGTATCCAGTTACTAAATGTCTCTAAAGGCTTAATACAAAATATAATCTGAATGACTGCAAAAACCTTGATGTTTTGTCGGTTTGGACCATGAGGGGACTTCAATGAACATGCAACATAGAATATACTCCATTGTAGCGTGACAGCAGATTTATGCAATACTAAAAAAAAAAAACGATTTATATTTATAGTAATTATACCATGAGTATGTACAATGCATTCTCATATTATCTACTGAATCCCTGTTCTACTTCTATTAGATCTTAACTAACAGCAACCTCTAAAACTGACTCTCTTAACGATTGATGTCCATACAGCGTATACTTTTGGCCACCAGTCAGGTGAAGAAGTCCAAATTCTAACCAGATCCTTAACACTTTTCAATATTTAAGTGTGTCATTTTTGCTGTGTTTTTAAATAACCAATTCTGCTATTAACACTCCTTTATACACCTTTTAGCTTTTAGTCACCCTCTGTAGCATGCTAGTCTGTTTAATAACATAGCTTACAAGGTGAGTGCTAGCTGTACTTATAAACATATAAGCTATTAACCAGGCAACTTCAGTGCAGGACGACCTGGAGGTTCAGATTAGAAGGAGGGAGCATATAGTATATGCATCATAAAGGAATACATGTAGTTGCTTAACCAGGTAAATTCAATGCAGTAAGAATACATGCAGTTGCTTTTATATAATCCTCTCCCTGCAATTTTTTTTTGACACCATGTAAACTGTTACATGGATTCTAATTATCACAAAAATGGGATCAACTTTATTCCTTTATCAATAAATTTGTGCAATTTTCAGCAGCTACAGAGCAACATTCATGAACAACAAGAAAATTTGAAGAAACTGAATGATAATGGTAATAGAATAGTAAATCAATCGATGGAACCTGGAAAAACACAGCTTATTAAGAAACTTGAAGCCTTGAATGAACGATGGAAGAATTTCTGCACTAATGTTTTTAGGAAAAAGTTAGGGTAAGACTGTTTTTTCTCTTAATTCCTTGTTTTGTAGTGGCAAATAGTGTAGAATTCGTATTTCAAATTAAAAGCAAACTCTGGACTTTGAATGTTGATTAGTAATGGGCTTTTAAAACCAACATATAGTTATGGCGAACTGATAATAGGGTGTGTTTATGGCAGGTGAGCCAAAGGGGAAAATCTTTGTATGTAATATAGTCATGAGAATTTTTACAATGAAGTTATGTGAAAGGCTGTTTGTTTGCCACATAGCCTACTTATTTGTCAGTGCTTCAAATATAAAACACATGCCTCCTACAATATGGCAAATATGCATGTCTGATTTCAAGAATTTAATGTGCTTCATAAAACTATTTAGAAAATAATGTTTTGTTCCATAATGCACTTACATTCCATTTTCATACAAAGAGCAATAATATAATTCAACAATTTCCGCAATAGGAATGATACTACATGTATTTGGTATGGGAATTCCTCTCACTTAGGCATATTCCCCTGGTAAAGTCCAGGAATATACTCTATTTTATTTAGGCGTTGGCCTGCATTTATATTTTATTAATATTAGTATTAAGCAGTGACAATTTGCAATATTAGTGTTACATAACACTTGGTACTTCCAGAGTGACGAATTAAATTAGCAAGAATTTAGATATTTTGTTTTTATTAACAGAGTTGGTCAGATTGCAAATCAATCTACAGAGTTTACAGACAATATGGATGAAATATTTTTCCTGATTGACGACACTGAAAATGTGATAAGCTCACCTCTTCGACCAGAATCTCAGTACTTAGAAGATCTTTTAGACAGAATTAAGGTAAGCTTTAGCTTTGTATGAGTCATCTTGGATATAACAAGCCGATAATATATAAACTATAACACATGAAACGTCGCCCAAATAAATAAGTAGCTGTTTTTCCATAAGTTAAACGGGCATTATGGGAGATTAGATAAAGAGCTGACAGTTCTTGCTATAATAGTTAAAAAATAGATAACATAAATAGAATATGCTCAAAATTCAGTCCAATTGCTCCACTCTGAATAGAGAGTTGATTATGGTCTGGATAAGTAATGTCTAATTAATAATTTGGATAACATTTCAGTCGTAAAGAAAGACCTGCAATAGGCAGATTTAGCTCTTGTATAATGTATGTTTAATTTTTTTTCTGAAACCACCCTCAAGGATGGTGTCTGTTGTCATTGGTGACTATCCTGAAATGAACAATGTGCGGCACCACTAACCTACATTATAGTTACCGGGTATCAAAATTCAATTTTATGAAATATTAAAAATTCTCTTTCCTTAGAAATACAGATTGGAAAAGTCACCTTTTAATAATCGTTATTTTTATTTTGTTTAGATAAAAGAAGAAGATATTTCGACAAAAAAGAAAATGGTAGATACGATAAATGAAACTGGTAATCAGATGATCAATGATGAAAGTCTTTCGACATCAGATAAAGAAAATATTGAAAAAGATTTAAATAATCTAAATTCTCGGTGGGAAAAGGTAAGTGTTGATATCTACAGGAGTTAATTTAATTGAGTTGTAAACCGGGGATATTGTTATAATTTGATTTAAAATCTGCTTATTATGTGAATTAAAATTTATTAAGCTGTGTATGTTGCATTAAAACTACAGAATGAAAATAATTTATTTTTAATATATTATTAGAGAACTGCATGTAAGTACATTTTTCATCAAACTGACGAGAATTTATCTAAATCACTTCCTGATTAAATAGATATCTCCTGCAATGGTAACCATAAAAATAGAGAAATAAATAATATAATTACTTTGACAACTAGTTCATCGTGATTTTCCAACATGGTTTCCACTTGTCAGTGATGCAGGACGGAGGGCCTGACAAGGACAGCTGTCTAGTTGTTTGGACGTGATGAAAAACCGAGATCCCGCGTACACATTGGCGTACACATAAAAGATCCGGTGACAGTTGGAATTCGATATAAGAGTAGGCCATAGTGCCGCCGACTGGGCAAAATTTCCCTCATAGCACATTGTATGACGTATGCCTGTCTTCATTAGCCCAGTATAGGAGCAGAACAGTAGGACATTAAACCCCATTTCATTTCATTGCTGTTACACTTTATGTCTTTTAGGTTTGTACTGATTTACCAAATTTCCAGACTTCTACCAAAAAATACTTACAACGACTAAAGGAATATGAAATTCAAAATGATGATCTAAAGAAATGGATGAAAGAAATTGAAGAAAGATTAAAGAATGATGATAATATGAACATATATGGTAGACAGGTACTTATATACAAATATTGGTTTCAGCAAGTTCTTTTAATGCATTTACTAATGCTATGCTTATGATGTTATTATTCCCCAAAATATTACAAACTTTAGAATTAAAATAGATTATTGTGAAAATAAAATTTACCACATCTTACAAATTTCTTTTTTATAGCGAAAATTGTTAGATTATTATAGGTTTAAATACAAAAGTGTGTGTGTGTGTGTGGGGGGGTGGGGTGGGGGATGGCCAAATGATTAGCGCATGCGCGTTGTATCATAAGGTCTGTCATTGAGTCAGCTGGCGTGGTTTCGATTCCCCGGTTGTACATGGCAAGGAGTAGGGTAGCCTATCCAATCTTGTGTGTTTTCTCCGGGTCCTCCGGTTTCCTCCCACTGCTAAATATCCCTATGCATAAGCGAATTATTGAAATAAAATTGAACCATATGTTAGTCCCAAAATGACCTATTTTGTGTAGAGTTGAGGTTAAAATCTCTCTCTCTCTCTCTCTCTCTCTTTCTCAAATACAAAAGTATAGTGAAAAATGTTAGATATGTGAACATTTCAAGACCTGGTTTCAGCTCATAGCTACTTTGTTATGAAATTATGATTTATTACTTCAGAATATGGAGGATACACTAAAGGCAGGTCAAGTGAATATTGATAATGTGACCACTGCGTATAAACAATATTGTACTGAATGTAAAGATCAGGATATTGAAATACCCCCTCAGTTAATTGAACAATACGAATCTCTTACATCTGATTGGGAGCAAGTTAAATCCCATCAAGCCAGGATGTTGGCCAAAACAGAACCAAAGATTGAAGCAATTACTCAAGGTAATTCTGAATGTAAGGTAGTTTTGATAAAGGAAAGTGAAACCAATAGAAAATTTAAATACTTTAGATAATTTATAACCTCGGACACTGTTGTTCATAATCAAAACTGGTAATTGTGTTTGTAGGATTATAATTTACTAAACTATTTTACTAGAAATTGTATCTGCAAGATTTTAAATTACTAAATTATATTAACGAAGAATAGTAATTATTGCTTTATATGGTCATTTTCTCGGTAAGCATGTCTGTAAAATAATATGAATCAATTTAAACAAGAACCTTTTTAAGAAATCTTCCATATTTTTGTTTATCACAGTAAAAAGTAATGTTGTTGAAAGTGTTAAACACAGTAAATCACAGCTAATACAATTCAATGATCAATATGCTGAGTTTGAGAGATGGCTATGTTCAACAGAAGACAAGTTAGCCAGCCAGCCATTACTTCCACAACCATTATTACCACAATCACCAGATAAAATAGAACAACTCCTTCAAGAACACAGAGTAAGTATCAAATGTTTGAAGACAATATTATATTATATTAAAAATAAGCAACCATTCGAAATGGAATCCAGATTATCTGAAATTGTTGTGGATGGATTCTTAACAGAACACCTGATATGCTGAACAAAAACACAAGGTCACTTTATGAAACTAGTCAAGGATTATCCCAGATTAGAAATAAGAAAGGATAGTTTTTCAATAGAGTTATTAACAACTAGAATTTGCTGTGTAATCAGTTCAGAAACTATTAACCAATTCAAATCAAATCTAATCAAACCAATTAAAACAAACCGGATGTACATAAGTACTAATAATAGTTACTCAAAAAGTCAGCATTTTACTTTTTAAAAAAGGTAGCAGTTACAGTAAGTTATGTTTAAATTACATAGTAAGTCGAAGGAATCGGCTACACATTTTCCAATATAAAACTGAACCATACATGTAGAACAGAGTCATTGTTAGCAAAGATAAGCACCCTTGGACCAAAGACCGTCTTGTGTGTTACCTGTCATCATTTTTTTGGACCAGGAATTGGTCGCTAACTGCTACTCATCTTGTTCTAGTTCTTCTTGGGGTGACGCTCTTCGAAAAAGTCTAAGACTCTGTCAATTCAAGTCCGATCGACATGAAAATTGGCATGCTTCCTCTTTCAACAATCTTGCATTTAGTTAGTGAATTAGATTCATAATTTCACCCAACAACATGGTCAGTTGTTGGTCCATAGTACGATCATACTTGATTTTTTCTCGAATTGCTAATTCTTCAAAGGGATTCCTCTAGTGTTGGGCAGGTGGAAGAGAAAGTGTATGCAAGGCTAATAGAATTAATCAGTAGTGTGTAAAGGAAATCTTACTCAGCCCAGCTCAGAGAATGTGAAAACTAAATAAGAACTGCTTGATATGACTTTTATTCTGTTCTTACCAAATTATCAAGATTCATCAAACCAGTTTTAATAGAATAGAATTTGTCATGATTTTATGTCAGTTTGGATCTGCCGTATCTTGCACCCATATCATACAGTAGACCACATCCTCCACAGAAAACATTCTGGTTACACAGAAACACCAGTCAGATCTTTCTTTTGTTTTCCAGTAATGTGATAATTTTTCCATTCTGTACTGTACATGTTATTTTTTAAAGTTATCATCAACAAGTGTTTAGATTATAAACCAAGATGGGGTAAAGCTGTACTGTTCAGTGAACCTGAATAATTGTCATATCAAATTAATGAATTTCTAACATTATGTTTTTAAATTAATGTTTTATTATTTTTGTTTCTAATTTAAACTTTCTGAAGACCCAACTTTTTAAGGGTTATTTTTTCCTAAGACCTACATCAGAATGTCTTGTGAAGCATTTCAATGATGAAACTGCTCGTGGGTATAATTTTCATTGTCTGACACAGATGGTTAAACCAGGTAAACTTAGACTAATTCTGACAGTGCCGATAACATGGATCGTTCAAAACAAAATTCTGTTTGTTTGCAATTATTATGTCTGGTTTTTGTTGTTGTTGCATTTTATTTCGCAATTCGTACGAAATAGAAACAGCAGACACATAAAAATAAAATAAACAATTATCACTTAAGTTTAAAACCTCATCTGACAGGTACAAATTTTCTTACATTTGTTTTGTGTTTATGTTCACAATATATTTAATTCCAACAAATAAAATGTTAAAAAAAAGCAAATAATACATACTGGGTGAAAGCCTGGGGTATATCTGTGGTCAATTGGTATAAAATAGTAGGTACATGTATCCTCTCCTTTCTTATTAGCATCATGTTTTGTGCACACCATATACATGTATATTATAAACACAAATCTTTGTGGATTGCATAGCTAATCTCATGCCTTTCTCCAAACAAATGTTAATGGAAGGATCCAGTGTGAAGATAAAACAAGTAATACAAACAAGAAGCTGTGAATAAGGGGTGCGGTTCCAAATCTAGGGCACCTTCAACAATCCCACCCTATAATAAATGTACATAATAAAATGCATAAAATAACACTGAGCGCCCAGTTAGAACATAGATCCTTTTGCCTATATAGTTGTTCGGCTTCGCCGATCATTATCTCGCCAGAACACAAAGTTCATGTCATTATGGTTGTTAACCATTCGGCCATCCAACCCCCCTCGCTAATTCAGATTTGGGGTTCTAGATTAAAGATACATTATGTAAAATTTAGATACGGAGCTGGTCGGTCTTGCTGTAATAGTTCAAATATACATAATGCAAAATGAATTTTTTAAAAATTTTATTCAAATTACTATACTGTTTAGAGTTTTGACAACGTGGCATTGATTGTTTATTATTGTAACAACGGTACTTGTTATTCGAGCGGGGATCACGTGGCTAAGTGGGTAGGACGGCTCGCTAGCCTGGAGGTCGGGTGTTCGATTCCTGCATTGGCCGAGAAAGTTCTTCCTGATTTTCCAGCGCGGTTTCCCCTTTGCAGTGATGCAGGACGGAGGGACTGACAAAACCAAGGTCCCGTGTACACATTGGCGTACACGTAAAAGATCCCTTGGTTGGAATTCGATATAAGAGTAGGCCGTAGTGCCGCTGTCCGGGCAAAATTTCCCTCATAACACACTGTATGGCGTAAGCCCGTTTTCATTAGCCCAGTTTAGGAGCTGAACAGTAGTACGTTAAACCTCATTTCATTTTGTTTTTCGAGACTTAGCCTCATTAAATCATTAAACCGTTCTAATCTACTTAAAATCAGAGCCATCCAATGACCCAGACAGTTGATTATTTGCTTTTCATGTTAATAAATGTTTAAATAATAGTTTATGTAACATCTGAAGCCAAAATAAAGACATGAATAGACAGATTTAGCTCTTACATAATGCATCGTTATAAATTATTTAATGTATTGATTTGTATGAAACTAGGTTAATGTGCTCTGTGTCTGTGGTGGAAAGATATTATATATACTATTGGCCTATTATAAGGTCCATGATTCTATGATGAATACAATCATGCATGGGCGTCACACATGGGGGATTCCGGGGGGGCGGGGGGGGGTCCGACCCCCCCCCCCCCCAATTGTTTTTTTACATAGTAGGCCCAAACTCCTATTTATTTACAACAATTATTTGGATTAGTTAAGATTCTATATCTGTATAAAACCTGTACATATCCCAATATGGTTTACATTGCTAAAATAAAACACAGAGAGAATCATCCTGGAAACATGTGTGAAGTGAAAAGTACCTGTGTTTCATAAAATTGTGTCTAGTTAGCCTGTCAGTAATATTTTGTTAATTTTTTTCTGCCACTTATCAGAGTGAATCGTATGTAGGTACCCAAAAACATTACCGCCTAAACCAAATATTTATCGCCCGCTCAGCCAGCAACGTAACCATAATCCTTTTGCACACGGTGTCTTGGTAGACAGCATGGCCACATGGTTTGTTTATATTTTTTAGGGGTTTTAAAAAATGGGTTAGGGTTAGGGTTACAGACCCCCCCCCCAATATATATTTCACGGGTACGCCTCTGCAATCATGACGCTATCTAATAAACAATACAGTACAATTGCTGAACTAAAACATAGACAGTATATCACAACTTACTATGAAGAAAGTAATTTAGTCAAGCAATTGGAAATTGAACAAGATTTAGGAGCTCCACATTGCTCACCAACACATAGCACAAATTAATAAATGATTGTAAGCATAATCTTATAATCTTTCATTTTGTGGCCCATCCAAGCTACTTGTAACACTTATTTTGGCGATTAAATTTCATACGAACTCGGACTTTTATTTTTGAGATTCTGTTCAAATCGGGATAGTCCCTTTAAAGTCCTATGAAATTGAACAAGATTTTAGGAGCTCCTCACTGCTACCAAATAGCACAAACTAATAAATGATTATAATCAGTCTTAAATTTTTTGGCCCATCCGACCTATTTGTCACACTTTCCTTAAAGTTTTATGAGAGGGTATGTTATATAAATGATATTAAATGTTTGCTTTGTGAACTCCAATGGAAAGCAGTCTTCATTCAGTTTTAAATAATGTAACACTATAAATGAATACTATCAGTAACAATAATTTTGTTTATGTGTATTTAACATTCATATTTCTAGTATTGGAGTTATAAATTATTTTGCCTAGAGCTAGAAAACTACTATATTTTTTATTATAAATAATATGGATAATTAATTACTCCCCCCCCCACCCCCGAAAACATATTTTTAGACTTTATTTTTAAGACTCTCATCATTGTATTTATTTATTTGTTTGTGTGCTGATCGGTCTCTTATGGTATAATTCCCTCATTATTCTCTCTGGGTTATTAATCCCACCTGTAAACCTAAACAGGCATGTATTGAATCAGCCCATAACGATAGCGTCGCTGCTGTCAATGAAAACAAAGATGGCGACCTTATTTTTGGTGCAACGCGAAGCTCGACTCGGAACTATTGTTGATCATCCAATTAAGAAATAATTGCTTGCTTTCTATCGGTAATTTTCTAAGGTAACTCATATTCCTTCCTCTACTTTAGCACAGCTTAAATGTAAATAAATATCGTGCTAATTCTAGCAAACGGTAATTACATACATCGCCCGTTCACGGCTGAAACATTGTTGCCTTGCTATAAATAGAACAGTATTCTCGGCTATTTATATCACAGTTGCCCAAAATTTCCCCTCTATTTATGAAAGCGGGATTGTTGTTGTGTGTTATTCGTATATTCGTATAAACAGCAAGTGACAATATATTTATAATGCACGAGTAATAAGGAGTTTATTTCGCAAAACACGATATGAACTCTGAAATCTCGTGACACACTCGCGATCTAGACATGTGTCTGGGTCTAATATTTATAATAATGCAATTCTGTTTACCAGGTATACAACGTACGCAATACAGTGAAATCTACAAGCTTATTTTAGATAGTCCTTCGTGTTCAGTGTAGTCTAATAATAAAGTTGAGCCAGGGCACCCGATCAGATCACATTCTTAATATTTTATAATAAAATTCTGATGCAGTTTGATGAAATGTTGACCTACCTACCTATCTAGTTGATGTTGATCAAAGTCTGAAACTATTTCGTTCTGTCGGTCATATATATATATATATATATTACTTTTATATTTTTGAAGTATGGGTCAATCCTTCAATATAGCTATAGACTGAAGAACGAAGCAAGAGAAAACTTTAATCATTTCATCTAGTCTGGACATATTCATCTTACAACCACTAAATCAATATTTAAAAACCTGTTATGGAATGATGATTCCTCATTGTGGTCTCATAACTTGTAGCAAACATTCCCCACAACAGACAATCTACAATGAATGAAAGCTGCTCTACAGTACACAAACTAATTTTAAGCCAAATCAAGATATATGTTATACATGTATCTGTGAATTTAAGAGTTACTAACATCCAGGACTTCTACATACAAGTTCATTTGACAAACTTTCTGAAATAAAAGACTCACATCAGCCAGTTCAGCGGGTGGGGGGTGTACTTTGATGTCCCAACAAAATTTAAAACAGTGTTCAACAAGCAAAAGTGCGACAAGAAAGCAAAACACAAAATGATTTGTTTTGGTTTATCATATTTTATAGTTAACCAAAGAAGATGTAAACAGGCATCAAGCAGAATTTGATAAATTAAATAACCTTGCTACCAAACTACAAGAAGAATATGGTCCAGAAGAAAAACACCATATTACAATACGCAAGGAAAGATTAAAGAGTAGATGGACTACGCTTTTAAATAGGTAATCTATTTTATGATGAAATGATAGCTAAATTTATTCTCAACAAAATGGACACCAGAACAGAATACCCCTAATGTAGTCAATTCAATTGTTTATATTGCTAACAGTTATGATGCCACATTCACAGAAGTAATAACTGTTTTCTTACCAAGTGTGCTTAGAGTAATTTATTAGTTATGAAATTCAATGGGATTTAAAGTCCTACTTTTCTGCACCGACTGGTCTAATGAAGACTGACATGCTATACCATGTGCTATGAATAAGGGAAATTTTGACCGGACAGCAGCACTACAGCCTACTCTTATATCAAATTCAAACTGCCAAGGGTTCTTTTACCTGTACACCTTACCTTTTATTAGTTATGATTCACCTGTACTATAAATATAGATGATTTTTGTATGTCTCAAAGGTATGTGTCTACCAGTAACATATGGTTACTGTTTATAATTTGTATAAAAATGAAATGAAAAAATGTTTATAGGTTAAACAACAAGTGGAAGTCTTTAGAAAATTCCAAAAATTCATCCAAAACAACGATGGAGGAATTTGATAACTGGCTAAAAGGTGTAGAAAAAAGTTATAATAATCTTGCCGGAGAAATTTCTAATCCAGAAATTCTACAAAATCAGGAATTATGCAAGGAATATTTAGAACAGTTTCGAGTGAGTATAGAAGATAGCTCTTTTTAAACAATATTTCTTGATTCTTATACATTTTTTAAACAATATTTCTTATACATTTTTTAAACAATATTTCTTAATTCTTGTACATTTTTTAAACAATATTTCTTAAACATTTTTTAAATGGCGTTTCTTATATATTTACATGTATATGATTCCTGTCATTCCTGATTGTCTGAATTAAAACATCAAGGGCAATTTAGGCTATTCTTGAAATTAAAGCTTGGACAGCAAATTATATATCAAGGCTTTGTCTATTGGCTTTAAAAAAGCTAGGGAAATCCCATGTCATTCAAAGGAATATGGTTGAAACATCAAAAGAGTTCATTTTATTTGGAGATCTTACTGGTTATCCAGGCTTTTACTTGGTTTACCACTATTGGCACTACCTGTTCTTTTCTAGTTACACTTTTGCTAAAAATGTATAAATCAGAAAGTTATTAGGATTGGGTCAGAAGTACACAAGTTTACACATTACTTAAACATACCTATAAATGAAATCAGTTTCATCAAACTTATAGGGCCATGAATTTGTTATATGTTTCCAAACCTTTATTCGCAAAATAACATCCAATTTTTTTTCATATTCCAGTGGGCTTTTACAATAAAGCTTGGAATTTATTTTACTGGTGTAGGCTTCCTTGCACTATATGGAAAACAAAGAATGTTGCTATAAATTATGTATTATCCATTCTGACTGATAAAATTATTTCATTGATTTACAGGATCTACAATCTGAAGTTGACAGTCATCAAAGTATTTACGAATCTCTTAAAAATACGAGCAATAAACAACCTAGTGAACTTGATCAAAGATGGATGAATTTAATGCTAAACTCCATGAATATAAGGTATGAACAGCTATGACAAATCAATAAGCTTTTTGTTTTGATATTTTATCAAATATTTTCATATTAAGAAATGTATACCCGTATGTTTATAGTGTCAAGCCACGAGTTTTCTTACTATGTGCAAGCTCACTGTGCACGTGGCAGAGGTGGGAACGTGAGTCCCGCAGCTCAGTCTCAAACGCATCAAAGATCGACTTGCAACTCGACTTGAAATATTTATCGAGACTTGACTCAGACTCAGCAGTTTTGACAACTCAGGACTAGAAAGGGCTAAGCACTCGAGTCGCAGTGAGAGAACATAACTCTAACTTGCCTTATCTACCATGAATTGCTGACTCATTTGTTGAACTCGTGGCTTGTGAAGTTGGGACTCGACTCGGTACTAAATAGTAAGTGCAGGAGAAACGACAAGACAAACTATACAGACATTGCAAGAAATAAAACCACAAATATTGAAACTACCCGACCAAATGGCCGCTCCTTGAATGCAAATAGTGGAAAAGTATGTGATACCAAGGTTGTGGACCCACTAGAGGTCACAATTTTTGTCCAATGTTGATGAAACCAAAATATATATGTTTATATCCAAAACATCTCGGTTCCTTTCGATATTCACGCATTTCAGACCATAACTTACTGATTGTACGAAAAGCACTTCTTTTTTTTTAATTTGTTCTCTGTACATCTCTTGCTAAATGTGGCTATATCTTCGATGGCAACTACTGATTATAATATACATGTAGTGACTACAATACATGTATATACAATATGATAAAAAAAACATTCATTGAATTTTTTATTCACCACATTATTTTTTTTATATATATAGAAGTCGATTAGAGAGCAATGTAGAGCAGAAAATACATTTGTTACGAACTCATGAAGATCTGTTAAATTGGATTAAACAAAAACAAGAAGATTTATTTCTTCAGAAACCTGTAGGGGAAGATTATGCTAGTGTGCAGAAACAGCTTATTGAAAACCAGGTCAGTCAGATGATACTAAACGATAACCATCAGAAAGGCAAAACATATTTACTTCTAAATATGAAAGTACAAAACAGATTGTTAGCTATCTGAACTACTCAGATAAAAGTGAAGTGAATGCATAAGCATATACTGCCTAGTTTATTACACTTCACTATTTATAGCTAATTGCAGAAGCAGTCAAAATTACCGGTAGTATTGGATTTCATGTGTCATTCTTAATTTGTGTAAACCATTAAAATGTGAAAATCTCTATTCTTAAAACTAACATTTTCATTCTATTTTTCCAGAAATTAATGCAACAGATTGAATTAAAAAGACCATTTTTGGAACAGAGTATAAGAAATGGTCAAAATTTTATGTCAAAGAATAAAGATGAACTGAGGCTTAGTAATAACAGTAATGATAGTTACATCAATGGTAAATATAATAGATTGTTCTTATTTCTTCTTATTGAGGTACACAATTGTGGGGATATTTTTGAAGATATACATGTATTATTCATACAAAATGATAATATAAGAAGTTAATTTTGCCCTTTTCTTTTTCAGATGATATGGGCAATTTATCACTAGAAGTAGATTCACAACATCTAGGGCGCAAAATAGGAAGTAAAGTTCGTCTGTTAAATGAACATTGGACAGAATTAAACCGAGGAGTCAATGAATGGCAATCAAAATTAGATGATGTAGCGCAAGTATGTATTGTTTAGTATATAGTATGTTAGTAATATCCCTGTATAAGTTTAAAAAAATGAACTTGAAATGGCCATAACCTTGTAACTGATGAATTAAATAATTGAAGGACCAAAAAGTAATTTTGAATGCATATGGTAATCTATATTTAATCCTTGTTCCTTGGGCATGTTGTGGCTGTGACAAGGAGTACGGTTGCCTGTCCGGGTCCTCTGGTTTCCTCCCACTGCTAAAGACCTGTACGCGCAAACAAATTATTGAAATAAAATTGAACTATATGTTAGTCCCGAAATGATCTGGTTTGTGTCGGGTGAAAGTTAAACACACACACTCTCTCTCTCTTTCTCTCTCTTTCTCTCTCTGTCTGTCTCTCTCACTCTGGTATGTTGTGGCTTTATAACTTTGATATTGAATTTTCCAGAAGTTGACTGTATTAGAGGAGAATATTGAAGACCTCAATGCAAATTTAGTAGAAGCAGAAGAAAACAAAGCAAAATGGAATCCCATTGGTGATATTATTATTGAAAATTTACAAGAAGAAATAGATAACATAAAAGTAAGTAAAGGAATCACCAATATATCATTTATAGCTGTGTGATAAATATCCTGATGATGGCTTAGTGAGTAAGAAGTTGGCTGAGAAAGTATATCAGGAGTTTTCAATGTGGTTTACTCATGTCAATAGTGCAGGACGGAGGGCCTGGCAATGAACAAAGTATAGCTGCTCGGATGAGACCAAAAGCCAAGGCCCCATGCACACATTGGCATGCACATAAAAGAACCCTTGTCAGGTAGAATTTGATATAAGCGTAGGCTGTACTGCCACTGTTCGGACAGAATTTCCCTCATAGCACGTCTCATTTAGCCCAGTCAGTGCAGAACAGTAGGACGTTAAATCCTATTTCATTTTGCTGTGTTTACATAAATAAAACTGTGTCATCACTGCCATTTCATATAAAAATTGTAAATGATGTTTTTTTAAGTGCCAGCCCCATCGTAAATGATGTTTTTTTGTGTTCATTCGCTAAATGACACAGTTGTAAATTATTTTCTAAATGGTTTATTTCAGGTATTTCAACAGCAGGTTGATCCTATACAAGGGAAAATAGATAATGTTAGTTATTTAGCAAACAAATTACAAGTAGAAGATGTCAGTATATCTAATGTTAATGTAAGAAGAATAGAAGAATTTAATACTAGGTTAGTATTGAATTATAATATCTGTCTACTTAAATCTATGGAACATCGATCTCACTGAAAATACTAAGGGCTGCTAAGGATCACAAAAAATAATAACAAAATCAAGAACAGTCATAATGTAAACTGGAATAAAACTTCTTTAAATATCTTTGATATGTTTTAGGATTGAGATACATGTGATAAATTTTGATAAAATGACATAAAGGGAACTCAACGGAACTCAAAATCATGAATTATTTTCTTTTGTTTTTAAAATGTAAAAATACTTAATCATACAATATTTATTTTTAGATGGAAAGCTATACAGATTTCTATAGAAGATCGTTATAAACAACTACAAGAAGCTTTTCGAGATTTTGGTCCCAACTCTCAACATTTCTTATCAGGTTAAAAATTATTCTGTTGATTGGGCTGATCTTAAAAATATCTGTGTTTCGCCTAACGCGACCGACTAACTTAAACCACCCCCGACTTAAATTATTTTATTGCACTTTTCCACGATCTTTTTATTTTATTTTGTGTGTCAACCTGAAATATATCACGAGAGTTATTTCCCTTTACTATGGCTATGGTTTGATTCATTATTGAAACTGGTTGATCAAGACGAAAGCGTCTTAGGTGTCGCTTCTCAACAAAATGGTTGCAGACGAATACACGTCCATTCCCACGAAATGATTCTGCTTCTATGTCTATGGTGCGTAGTTTTAAACATGATGACGATATTTTCAATATCCGTTTTCGAGAAAAATGAAGGCACAACCCGCAGTATCGTTAAAAACGTGTTGAAGGAGTTTCACACTTCAAGTTCGTGGCAAATCGTGTGCGCGTCGACATCACGAAAAATTCCCGATGTCATTCACTCATTGATTTTTTTGCCAATTGAATAAAGAAGACGAATGTTTCCACCCGGAAAATTATTAAGCTGTCAAATTAGCTCTTAAGTTTAATAAAAAAAACTTTCAGTTCGTTACTTTTTACGTCAGACCCCAAATTCATTAAACAAAATTAATGAATCTGTAGTATACAGCTAATAAGTTTTCTGTATTGATTTCTCTAACTTTAAAAAAAAAATCTGAAAAAAAACCCGACCTACCGACCCTTCTCCTCGATTGTGGGTCGGGTTTGGTGAAACAAAGATATTTTTAAGGTCAGCCTTGTCAATAGTAATCTACTTCTGGCTAGATATAAATAATTTGTATAAGTAAATGATTAGCTTTGAGCAACATGTCAATTTTCAAGTTAAAAATTATTCTGTTCATTTTCAATACTTTTGGTTAGATATAAATCAACTGTATGATTAGCTTAAAGCAACATGTCTATAGTCAGTTTGCGTTGTATTAACTTATGAAGTATTTCGTATATTTGTAGTATCTGTTGAAAGTCCATGGGAGAGAAGTGTGTCTGGTAATAAAGTGCCTTACTATGTACAGTAAGTAAACTTTGTTGTAATTAAATAAAGGGCACGGTAATTAGAGAACATCAAGATTGTTTTGCCTTTCTTGGCAAGTTTCACAGATTCCAAATAGCCTGGAACCTTTGCTTGTCTGTGGGTCATAAAGATATATTTTGCTTTTTGGGGAGCTAGCAAGATATATTTTGATATATGTTCAAGTATTTTACATAGTATCTATTGTGTTTTACATTTAAATTATTTTAAATACTAATGTTATGGCAGGTAAATTGACTGACATGTAAGTTCCTCAGATGATCGGGGGGTTGAATGGCTTAGTGGTTAGCACGTGCGCGCTGTATCATTAAGTCTGTCATTGAGTCAACTGGCGTGGTTTCGAATCCCCGGTTGTACGTGACAAGGAGTAGGGTCATCTGTCCAACCTCATTTATTTTTCTCAGAGTCCTCCTGTTTCCTCCCACTGATAAAGAAACCTATGCGCAAGCTAATTATTGAAATAAAATTGAACCATATGTTAGTCCCAAAATGACCTAGTTTGTGTCGAGTGGACGTTAAACCCCATTTCTCCTCCCTCCTCAGCTGAACAATTTCACTGCCATTCAAACAAGACTCATTTAAGACTGAAATAAAAGCCCTGCATTGTACTACAAATTCAGATATCTAATTTATGTACATTTATGTAATTTAGCCATGCTACAGAAACTACACAGTGGGATCATCCTGCCATGTCCACATTATTACAAGCTCTCAGTAAGTTACATGTTTTATTATCGCCAACCTTTGATGGGGAATATTAAAATCCATCACAATTTTACAACACAATAACCCTACTTCTAATTGAGGTAGAAAGTTCAAACTTGGTATGTTCAGATTGATTACAAGTGGCAATACTTGGTCTAAAGTTTCATTACATCAGTTCCTTGACTAAGTTCTATAATGAGCGGTTTTTGCTCCGGTTAACCACATTGATAAGCATTTTGATTGTTTGAGACTTTGGAACACAGTAACTTTAATGGTTCTAATTGATTGAGACATATGAAACTTAGTGTAAAGTTTCATTACATCAGTACCTTGACTGAGGTCAAGAATGAGCATTTTCTGATCAGGTTAAGCAAATGATAAGTAATTTGATTGCTCAAGACATTATAGAAAGATAAATGTGCAAGGAAGTAATGAGTGTCATCCCTTTATTTTGAGATTAAGGCAGGGGACATAATATTTTTGCCGATCATTGTGTTTAAATATTGATTTGATTTGATTTGCTTTTCATTACATTTCATTAAATATTCCATTTCATGTATTTGTAGACGATTTGAATGATGTACGGTTTGCTGCCTATAGAACAGCCATGAAATTAAGAATGTTACAGAAAAAGATATGTTGTAAGTCTTTATAGCTCAACTGCGAGTTCCTTGATTTATTAACACAGTGTATAGGACAATGTCTCCAGTATTTCTGATTGGTCCCCAAGGATGAACTTGTCCTGCATGGTGTTACATGATTTATCTAGAACATCTTTTACCACATTTCATTTATTTGGGATGTTTGCATGGCTAACTATCAGTTTATTTAGTTGTCCGGATATGCTTACTTTTTCTTGAATGTTTACTAAGGTAATAATTTCCATTGTACATTTGTACTGTAAGCCATAAATAATTTGTATCTGATCAAATTTATCTACAATTTAAAATTCATGACAACTTTTGAGTCCTTATTTTATTTTTTAATTTTTAGTGGATTTAGTGAATATGGCTGTTGCTATTGACACGTTTGAACAGCATAATTTACGAGGACAGAATGATAGATTAATGGATGTAGTTGAGATAATCAACTGTGTTACCAGTATGTTTGAAGTTGTAGCCGAACAACATCCTAACTTAGTTAATGTACCACTCAGTGTCGATCTCGTCTTAAATTGGCTACTAAATATCTTTGATTCGTAAGTTAATATGATTACCATGATGTCTTTATTCGTTTAATTTAAATTTCAAAATATGATGTAATAATATCAATAAATAAAAAAAATTAAACTATATTATTATATTAACAAAGGTGCTAAATGATAATGTAGCATGTTCATAACTCTATGCTCGTTTTCATTAGCCCAGACGAAGCAAAACAGTAGGATGTTAAACCCTATTTCATTTCATTTCATTTCATAACTCTATGGGGCTTAGGTAAACCATGATGTCTTTATTCATAACTTTTCAAAATATGATGTAATAATATCAATAAATAAAAAAAATATAAACTATATTATTAAGCGACAATGTAGTCAGTATTTTTCCTGACTTTGTTACAGGTCTAGAAGTGGTCATATAAGAGTGTTATCTTTTAAAGTTGGTATAATTGTATTATGTAATGGACAGTTGGAAGATAAATACAGATGTAAGGATTTTTATAAATTTAGAACTTAAACAAGATTAATTAATTTACTTTATAAAGTTTCTGGAATTAAAATTTTAGGCCTAATTACAAACAATTTAGGATTACATTTTCCTTGAAATTACAATTTTGAAAAAGATATTGGAACCATGATTACAGAAATAAAAGATCACACCTAAGATGTCTTTTTTTTTTAGATTTATTTCTACTGATAGCAGATACAAATGGCTTTGCTGATCAAAGAAAACTGGGTTTATTATTGCATTATATGATACAAATACCCAAACAGTTAGGTGAAGTGGCAGCTTTTGGTGGCAGTAATATAGAACCAAGTGTTAGAAGTTGTTTTAAAAATGTAAATATATATTATTGTTATTGACATATATTACAATCTCTGAAAAAATATTGAAAGAGATGTTAGGTTATGTAGCTATAATCCTTACTGGTTGTGATTGTGCCACAAATTATGAAATGAATTTGATGCACTGCCGCCCCATTACAGATATGTATCCTAAAATACATCATCAACTCAAAAAATTATCTGCAGTAACCATCGCAGTAACATGCCATTGTGATCTTTGGCATGTTAATGATATGTTGAAATACAGGTTCCACAGAACTTTCAAAACTAAAATGTTAATCATATTATTGTTAAAAGAAGAAGGAAGTCATATGCATGCACCATTTTATGATTTAATCTTTAAATGAATGCACAAATTAGTATCACAGGCCCTGTCTAATTAGCCCAGTCAGAGCAGAACAGAAGGATGTTAAAACTCATTTTATTTATTTTCACAGGCTGATGATCCTACAGAAATACAAGCAAGCCATTTCTTAAACTGGTTAAGATTAGAACCTCAGTCTATAGTATGGTTACCAGTATTACATCGTGTAGCTGCAGCAGAAACAGCCAAACATCAAGCCAAATGTAATATTTGCAAAGATTTTCCAGTTGTTGGATTCAGGTACATCATAATTAAATAAAATTATTTTCGATACAATGAGTTCAACTATAGTAGAATTCTTTTCTTCATAACTGAAGTGCAATTTTCTAGTTACAAGAAAACTGGTAAAATTTTCTGAGAATGTTCCGTCACTCATGGAACATATCCACATCTACTTGTAGATTCAATGAAGATCACTTAGATATTTATTTAAATATTTTTATTTTATTTTACAGATATAGATGTTTAAAATGTTTTAATTATGATATGTGTCAAAATTGTTTCTTGTCTGGTAGAAAAAGCAAATCACACAAACTTTCGCATCCCATGCAAGAATATTGTACAGCTGTAAGTATAACATTTGGTGACTAAACAGAATTGTTTCATTTTCAGACAAAACTGTCCTGCAGGTGACAAAATTAATGCATCTTTAAAGGAATGCCACTTGCAAGGCATCAATATACATGCATAATGCAATTAATGTGGCCTGCAATGAACTTATCTTTTATAAAATAGAAGCTAAGTGGCTTGTTCAAGTTTAACCATTTATCAGACAATTACATAATGTTATCAGGTTCATGATTGGGCTGTCATTTGTATTTTATTGTTAAGAGGGGTATTAAGTTTGATGACAAGATTTGTAGAGTAATTACAGAAAAGAAATGGGTACTGAAATAAATGTGACTTGTGATAGGTCGCTTTTAATACAGTAATTTCTTGTTTCACGGTAGTTAACATGCAATCTAACTAATATTTAATATCTTCACAAGCATTCATACATAATTGGCCACAGCCATATGTTTCAAATACTCAAATAACAGTTGAAACTTTGTGACTACAAATTATATTGGATAACAACTATAGCTTTGACAACTGTTTAAAACCATCACAAGTAAAAATAGAAAGATGTCCTTTAGCATAACTGGCAGTAATTCTATTTTTCAGACAACTTCTGGAGAAGATATGAGAGATTTTTCAAAAGTTTTTCGAAACAAATTTAAAAGCAGAAAACATTTTAAAACACATCAGCGTATAGGATATCTACCGGTGCAAACAGTTAATGAAGGCGATGAATTAGAAAGGTTTGTCAACATAAAACACCAATATTCATTAATACGTCATCTCATGGTTATAGTGTTTTGAAATTAGAATTCATCAACATAATTGATTATTCATGAGCACTTAACTAACCCTTATTGTTCTTTTGTAACTTAATTCAATTGCACGTCTAAACTCTTGTCTATTCAAAGACTAGCACTGCCTCCATGTTATGAAAAAATGATCAAGACCACATTCGTCACTTCCTTAAGACTTATATTTCATGTTTGCATTAGGCATTAGATGACCTTATTGTTTAATAGGTAATGTAGTTTTCTGTGATAGTATTCTGTTTATTTCAGTCCATGTCCTTCTCCCATGCACAGTATATCACAGGACATGCATTCTAGACTTGAAATATACGCGAGCAGGTAACAATACTTCTTACTAATGTTAGAAACACTAAAATATGTTTCTTTAATCCTGGCACTGTAGATACCTTTGTATTTCTTATTCACTAAATCTTAAACCACGGGTGTCAAACTCATTTTCATTCAGGGGCCAAATGAACTAAAAGTTTACATCAAGGGGGCCGGAGATATACTGAACTTTACTGAATTCTAAAAACAAAGTCAAACTTCCTTGGCACAGGTAATTTTTTTAGCCTGGTTTCCAAATTGCCAAGATATAATATTGAACACAACGTTCTCTTGTATTACATTCAACTTAGATATGTACTGAAACCAGAAAACAATAATAAATGATTTACACCACTAGTTTCTAAGAATTATCGACACGTCAGTTTGTTGAAATTTGTTCCACGGGCCACATTTAAACCCTTGACGGCCAGACCTGGCCCACATTTGACACCCCTGTCTTTAACTGTTGAATGTTTCCGTAATGTCTAAGAGTTGGCAAAAAGTTTTCATGAATGATTTGAATGTCCTAAAAATACACCCATGATGATTGCTATTCAATATTTTACAGATTAGCTGAAGTAGAACAAGGTCGATCTAATTCAAGTCCAGATTTGTAAGTATTACAAAGTTCATAGTAAATGTATGTATCTAAATGTAACAGAATGTTATGAGCATTTCAGTTATTTGAAAATAATTGTACTTATAGAGTGTGAAATCTAGGTAACAGCAGTATTTGTGTATTTATGAAGATATATGATCTTTATTGTAATTAAATATTTAATTGAAAACCTGAATCTAAGGTGACAGAATCAGTGTCTTTAATGTTTAAAATTCCAGTATTCCACATATATAACATGCATCCTTAGAAATATTTTCTAATTCATTAAAGTCTCTGATTGACATTTGCAGATTTTTTTAATCAATTACAAACTAAGGGGGGTTACTAAAAAGAAAATCTGTCCCCAAATGCCAGAAATGGTTAAATTCTGTTTAGTATTTTCAAAGATATGATGAATTCAATTTGTGAAAATTTGGCAACCATAGCAGACAATGTACAGGATATGGTTAAAACCAGCCAGCACCTCCTACTATAATTGTAGCTGAAATCTTTTCATGGGCTTCTTTACAATCCAATTGAATCTACAGTTGATAATTTAATTCTGTTTTCTTATTAAATTTTCAATATAAGTCTAAGTACTTTTTGACATCAATTAGGCAGTGAACAATTGGATATTGTCTGAAAAATGCAAATGAAGATCAGTGGCGTCAAATTTTTTTTAGGAAAATGTGAAAGTTTTACTACTATTATCACAGAACCTTTTGTTGAATTTGTTCTATGAAATAAACAGATTAAAGACTTGCAATTTAATTTCAGACTTGAAGAGCATAATCTAATAGCACAGTACTGCCAAAGTTTAACAGGAGACTATTCATCTCAAGCGGTATGTTAACTATGATTTTAAAAACCATTTAAAATGTATAATTCCTTTGGCTACATTCAGAATGAATGAATGAAATTGGGGGTTTAAAACATCCTACTTCTGCACTAACTGGCTACATTCAATGAATGGTCTAGCCTTTGTGTGTTATAATCATTTATAAACACCATCATTTCATGAACAACCATTACATGTATTACAAATTTTTTTTTGAATTATTATGTTAAACTGTCGAAAGATGTCGTTAGAAAATAGGATTGTGCATGATAACAAAATTTAAGCTAAAATCTATAATTTATGATCATTATACGTCCTTGAAAATCTGTTTCAATAATATTGATAATTATAGACATTGGAGTTAAATTAATACAAAATTTAAACAAAGCTTCAATGGATGTTCCTGCTGCAAAACAATAATTTGAATGTATTTCGCAATCTTGATTTTTAAACAAATATTTTTCAGTTGAAGAGTCCAATGCAAATAATGCTAGCTGTTGATGTTGATCAAAAGTTAGAGTTAGAGGATATGATACGAGATTTAGAGGAGGAAAATAAGTAAGTACATATCTTTTACATGCACAGTAGGCTACCATTCTCCAATGCATTTCTCGCTCTGTCCAGCATTCGCCCCTGCAGTCAGCTTGCACCGTTAATTGCCTTGACCTGGAGGTTCATAGATCACAAGATTTTCAAATGCAGCTGTTAAAACTAAAATACAATCTTAATTGAAGGGATACTTGAAATATTTCTACTTTCCCTCAACATTATTTTGTTTTTTGTTTAACAATGTTTTCATTTTGCTTATTATTAAATCCATATTATAAGACTTAGTTAATATCATGATAATGATAAACAAAACCAGCTGTGTGTTCTTTTCATTTGTATTGTTCTACTACCATCATTAATTATCAACAAAACACTCAATATAATCCTCTATTGACAGCTGTATATACATAAACTTTCATAACACCTTTCATTAGCTAATATGACTTTTATACATAAACATTATTCTGTACAGGCCTTAGAATTTTATAGTTAAGTGACAGAGGTCGAGCGTAGCCATGTTTGAAAATGGGGTTTTGAAAAATATCCAAACTGACCAATGGGTCCCAAGACATTTTGGTCAATTTTTGACACAAGCAGTCTTGACTGGCATAATATGGCTATGTTCTAAATGAAATTGAGTTTAACGTACTACTGTTCTGCTCCGACTGGGCAAATGAAGATGGGCATATGCCATACAGAGTGCCATGGGGGAAATTTTGCAGCGCCATGGCCTACTCTTTATGTTGAATTTGGCTGCCAACTGTATACATGTATACATTAGTGCTTGTGAACTATTTGTCACTTTGCTTGACCAGCTTCATTCAAACATAATATAAAATTTCTTACAGGACGTTACAAGAAGAATATGCACGTTTACGTCATGCATCAAGTGATAGTGCTTTCTCCACATCCGAGAATGATTTAGTAGGTGGAGATGATGAAATGTTGGCAGAAGCCCGGTTATTACGACAACATAAAGGTAGATTAGAATCACGGATGGGTATATTGGAAGATCATAATCGACAATTAGCAGCACAGTTACAGCGCTTAAGACAACTTTTAAATGAGGTAAATATTAAGGCTGTAATATAAAGTAAAATGAAATGAAATGGGGTTTAACGTCCTACTGTTCTGCGCCGAACTGGGCTAATGAAGATGGGCTTACGCCATACAGTGTGCTATAAGGGGAATTTTGCTCGGACAGCGGCACTACGGCCTACTCTTATATTGAATTCCACCAGTGTGTACACAGGAATTCGGTTTTTTGTCCCATCTGAATGACTAGACGGGTTATATAACACTCTTCCAGAACCTAGTGTAGTAAAGACAAGTAAAACAAAATTTGAATTATAAAAAATGAAATGAAATAGGATTGGTATTTCCCCCAAAACGCAATGTGACCCAAAGAGACTATAATCATAATTTCCTGTGTATTAAGCATGATACATTAGATATAAGTTCAAATGAACCAGAATATTGCTAAAAACAATTTAATTTTGTATTACAGCCAAATGAAGACAGAAATTCACCATTAATGTCCTCATCAGTTCATTCTTCAAAGAGCTTTTCTTCACCTCAGTTAGAATCAACATTACCGGTAAATGGTCATCAGTCAGGTAGGCACACAGATTTTATTTTAATTAGATTATAATTACTACATTGCGGTTTGGTGGGTGGTCTGTTTAACAGACAATAAGCCCTATTTCTCTGTATGTTTCATACAATAATGAAAGGATTAGTCACAATTGGTTTATCTTTAAACTCACTGTCACATCTATGAGAAAGAGGTCATTTCGGGACTAACATATGGTTCAATTTTATTGTGCGTAGGGGTCTTTAGCAGTGGGAGGAGCCAGAGAAAACCCACAAGGTTGGACAGGCGACCCTAATCCTTGTCACGTACAAGCGGAGAATCAAAACCACTCCACTTGACTCAATAACAGACCTTATGATGCATTGCTCCCGCGTTAACCATTTGGCTACCCAACCTCGTCACATATATAATGCTAATGTCTTGGAATAACATAATGCACATTATTCGTGACTTTCACCTGTGCTTGTCACTGGCAATTCGTGATAACTCAAGTTTTACTTAACTTTAAAACTTGACATGGTCATCAGTCAGGTAGGCACACAGATTTTATTTTAATTAGATTATAATTACTACATTGTGGTTTGGTGGGTGGTCTGTTTAACAGACAATAAGCCCTATTTCTCTGTATGTTTCATGCAATAATGAAAGGATTAGTCACAATTGGTTTATCTTTAAACTCACTGTCACATCTATGAGAAAGAGGTCATTTCGGGACTAACATATGGTTCAATTTTATTGTGCGTAGGGGTCTTTAGTAGTGGGAGGAGCCAGAGAAAGCCCACAAGGTTGGACAGGCGACCCTACTCCTTGTCACGTACAAGCGGAGAATCAAAACCACTCCACTTGACTCAATAACAGACCTTATGATGCATTGCTCTCGCGTTAACCATTTGGCTACCCAACCTCGTCACATATATAATGCTAATGTCTTGGAATAACATAATGCACATTATTCGTGACTTTTACCTGTGCTTGTCACTGGCAATTCGTGATATCTCAAGTTTTACTTAACTTTAAAACTTGACAGAGCACCATTGCAATCTACAATTGACTATGTTTTTGTTTATGGTACACATTGTTCAGAAACTAGCTAACCATTGCACAACCATTGTGCCAACTGGATTCTTCTTACTTCAAAATATCCCAAATTAAGGGCAAAAATATATTGAATGTATAATACATTTATATTATTTTGTTCTGTTTTAGGGAGCAGTAATGTAGGTGATTTATTTCATATGGCTGGTCAAGTTGGTCGAGCTGTGGGGACCCTAGTAACCGTAATGACAGATGAAGACGGAAACAAAACCACACTAGAAAAAGAAACTGCAGCGTAAAAAATGTTCTTTGTATAATTCACCCTTGACATGCAGATTTTAAGAGACATTTTAGAGCTAATTATCGGTTTAAAAAGACCTAACTGATTGACCAAGTTAGTGTTTATTTTAAAGGATTTAGCCAACCATTGAATTTGAAGTCATGAAATGTATTTGTGAAAAATTTAAATATCTATTGGGAATGACAAAAGATGTTAATTTTCTCATTAATGATAACCGTGGGTGCTATGTTTGTGAATTTGACAGAAATGAATGATTTTGCTTTGTTAAATCTCACAGTATTGTATATTTATTTCTTTAAACCTTTATGGAATTTGTATTTGTGAATAAGAATGTATACAATTAATTACATAGATCCACATAAAATGTTTCATATCATCAAAAAAGTGCTTAATAACAGTGGGTGATGTCGAGGATAAAATAGCGAGAAATGTTTTAATTTTGACCGATGAAAGTTTTAATAATGAGACCCTTTGTTGTTAACTACAAAAAGACTTTGTTATATGAGCAGAAGAATAATGGAATTTATCAGGAAAAATGGAAATAATGAGCTCTTTTAAGATCATTTAAGAGTAAGGCTAGATACAGATAGGCAGCATGATGTACTGAGGCATCAAGGAAATGATTCTTGACGATGTTTCTAATACTGGTGCCAATCAGTAATGCATTCCATGTATTCAAGGTGCCATAGATCATTGCATGGAGTCTTTATTTGTCAACATAATCTGCATATACGTACACCTAAGGAGAATCAACAGTTATCAACAATCAAAAGATATGTATTTTATATTTTAATCACTAATGACTTGTGTATCTTCATAAACACAATATATTATTGCATATTCTCATTAAATTTGTATTAATATTGTCAGGGGTAAGGGAGGGGAATAGTTATTATAGCATTTTTACTTGAACATAATATATATAAAAGTTGTTATATTGATGTAGAGCAAAATTGTTTTTATGGGCCTTTTTGTTTTGTTTTTTTTATAAATGTCTGCATTAAAGAGTCTGGGATTGTGATTGGGTATTACACGGATTTTATTTGCCAAGGATTGACCAGTATTTTAACCAGTTGAATTGTTTTAAATTATGGACTATTAAGTTTAAAGATTAATGTCGAATTTTTAAACAATTGTCTAGCTTATCAGTCCATATAACAAAGGAATGTCAAAATGTAAAACAAAAATGTCAAATGTGCATGTGTCTGTCTTCATAATTTATCTTTGCTTAACAACGACGTTGTTTAATAACAAGTTTGCCGTAATGTAAATGAACATTTCGATCGATTTATCCCATAATAATATTATAATGAATGTTTCAGCAGTAATTTACGAAATTTTTGGTGCTAAATGTATGGTCATTCTCTATGTATTTCAAAATCAATTAATTTTGTGGCGGAAATTTCACTGATATAAGCAAGCAATAGAAAATTGCCATTCTCAGCTCCATAATTTGTATGGCTGTATTTATATATTGAACATGCAATAATAATATGCTAGTCATTTGCTTAAATTCACCAGAATGTCTGTTCTGATAACAGCAAATTTCTACTCCCCCCAAAAAAGAAACAATTACAAATTTTGAGCCAAGATTATATTCACATCATGAAGAACCAGAACAATTTTATTGAATTTTAGAATATTCAAAATGTAGTACATGTATATTATATATTATAGATAATAATAACCATGTATATATAAATATGTATGAAATGATTCATAACTTATAATAAACCATTATATAAAACCATTATCATTATGTGTTTTTTATTATTTTAATGTTATACTAGTAGAGAAAGATAAGATGGTATTAGATTTATTTTGATTTAGAGCATTTGTCTAATGTTTCATCAAGTGTGATTGCATGGATTCTGTTTTGGTAACTAATTAGCTGGAGTATTTCTTCGAAAGATGATGATCCATATTTTGGGGAAATGAAGGGCTAATAGAGACTGGCATATGCCATACAGTGTGCTATGGGGAAAATTTGGCCTGGTAACTTATGTTTTCATTAAATACTTTCTAACTTACATAAAAAAAAAATCCCCCAACACACACCACAGTTGGATTATATGTTATGTACTAAATATTGTTAATTGGATGTATAATGAAATAAAATGAAATGAAATGGGGTTTAACGTCCTACTCTGACTGAGCTAATGCAGACGGGCATAAGCCATACACTTTGCTATGATGAAAATTTTGCCCAGACAGCGGCGCTATGGCCTACTCTTATATCAAATTCCAACTGCCAAGGGATCTTTTACACGTGCACCAATGTGTACACAGGACGTTGGTTTTACTGTCCCATCTGAACGACTAGACAGTTGTCCTTGTCAGACCGGTCACCTTTTGCTTGCAGTTGTGGTTTCGATCCCTGGTGTGAGTGTATGTGGCTTGGAGATCTGCGATATCATCTTCAGTGGAAGCAGACGTTAAACACTAAGAAGAAGATCTATTCAATACTTAAAGATACATTTTGGGAGATTCAGTAACGAGTTGGCAGTTCTCACTATAATAGTTAAAAACTAGATAATGTAAAGGCAATTTGGTGAAAATTTCATTCAAATTGATCCACGATGAACCAAGAACTAAGCGATTGAAATTCCCACAAGCCTTGGTCATCATTACTAAAGTCAGTACGATAAACATCATAGTCTCGACTATCCATTTAATCGTTTAATTGAGAAAGAAAGTTATGCAGTAAATCGGGTTACAATCCACTAAAGATCGCGCTGCCATCTAGAGTTGATTATGGCCTGGATAGGTTAATTAATGTCTAATTAATAATTTAGATAACATTTCAGGCCTAAAGAAAGACCTGCAATAGACAGATTTAGCTCTTGCATAATGTATGTTTAAATACTTATCTTGATTAATCTGATAAATTTTGTACCTTACTTTGTACTTTCATTTTATTGCATACTGAAGTAACCCTACATTTCAATTTTCATAATTATTTATTATAATTCTTCCACAAGAGTAAATTCAGTTCTCATAACACAGCAGACGAAAGTCCTAATGCCCACAACTTAATACTCTTATCACTAATTTTAAACTGTAAAGTTTTCTCTATTTTCTTTTGTCTTTCAAGTTTTCTCTTCCTTGTTATTTTCAACTGAAAGATAAAACAATAGAAATAAGTACAATTTTAAAGAGTCCATAATTCTTTCATCACTTAAAGATACATTATATAACATTTAGATCAAGAGCTGGCCATTCTTGCTGTAACAGTTCAAATATGGATAATGCAAAATGGATATATTGAAAATTTCATTCAAATTACTCTGAAGATATTAGCCTTTGAATGTTTGACAAGATATGTGTGCACTGGTTGTATCCACCGTACTGTGTGTTTGAAGCTCAGCCCAGCTCGCTTCTCCATTTTTAAATTAAATCAAAATATGTCTGACCCGTTCTTATCTGCTTAATATCGGAGACATCCGAGGGTATCGAGAGTTGATTGTGGTCTGTTCATGTTAAGAAATGTCTAATTAATAGTTTATGTAACATTAAAGGCCTAAAGAAAACCCTGCAATAGGCAGATTTAGCTTTTGCCTGTTTAATAAAGGTGTACATGAATAATTTAAAAGACAGTCATGGTTGAGATTTGTTTACTAAAATAATATTTGACATTCAAAGCTGCACAGTTGCAAATGAAAAAGTTGTAAAAATAATTTTAAGTTACCTCGCCATGTACATCTTTACAATAACCACTAGATAAACTATTAATCTCAAGGCATGTTGATGAGATATGTTTGAAATAATTGGTCAAGGCCTCAGACTTGTCATCTTCTCCATATACACTTGATAACATGACTAATGTACCACGGCTGGTTTCCTTTAGATGTCGTGAGAGTGAATGACAAAATATAACAATGTCTTTGTAAGAAATTCCTAAAGTTAAGAGGAAAGATATATTATCTATCATTAAAACAGTTGGGCTTCCATTTGACTGACTGTAAAGTTTATCAACATTAGAGTTCAATAAATCCAATAACTTCTGCAAAGAATTTTTCCTAAAGACATCTTCAAAGTTCGTTTCAATATCTTGAATACTTTGGATATTTATATCCACACAATCTTTAACAACACTTAAACCTAGAAGTTTTAATCCATCCACCATTATCAGTTTATTTGAATCAATAGAAGGTTTGAGATCCGTTGCAATCTTTTTGGACACTGACAAATAATGACCAACTGACTGACTTATTGCGAGAAAACAAATGTTATAATTCTCCTTTTGATATAAACTTAAAAGTGAATGGATAACAAAAGTGCCATCCACATGCCAGTCTGATTCTGAGATAAGAACAAGATTATTGTCTCTTAACTGACAATCTTGAAGTAAAATATCTTCCAGTTGGCTTCGTTTTATCGAATTCATTTTCCCCAGTCTAGTAGGCCAAATAATTAAGTCTTTAGTTCAACGGATAAGACAATAATAATGTTACAATTCCCCCTTCGTCCTCAAATCAATACATTATTTTCTGTTGGTTTTACTCAAAGAACTGTCGACATGTATTTCTCTTGTCTTTTATAGAGCTAAGTCTTCTACACGTGAAATATATTGCGTTCGCCTACAAAAACAAAAACATATTTATGATAGTCATTTAAACTTTACAACTACTCGGCGGAATAAACACAAAACGAAATAAAATGATATTCGTGAATACCACGATATATACTGAGTACTTGAAATTATAGTTTAATAACTATATTACCCCTCTTCTCAACGTTTAACGGCAATTTACGAGAAGACTAGGTGTCTATTTTGACCCCGGTTTAAAATTTGCGTTTCGTTTTATTTACCGGTAGAAATTACTACGACAACCCTTCTGAAACCATAAAGCTGTGAAAATGAACTTCAATCAAGCTAAGAAAACTTTCGAGCATATTTTAAATAATATGTCAAAGGAATCCAGAACAGACTTTCTCATGTGGTTGACAGATTATCTTCAGAACAGTATGTACATTCAGTATAGAATGTCACTTTTATTTGATTTCAGAAAGAATACTTCAATGTTGGCCAATCGCCCGAATAATGACGTCTACTCGGACCAAAACCAGTGGGACAAAAACTTGTCGGATATGAAATGAAATGAAATGGGGTTTAACGTCCTACTCTTCTGCTCCAAATTGGTCTATTGAAGACGGGCATACGGCATACATTGTGCTATGATGAGGGAAATTTTGCCCGGACAGCGACACTCACAAAAGCTAGTTTTACTCCTATATATCAAATTCCAACTGTCAAGGGATCTTTTACGTGCACGGCAGTGTGTAGGCCTGGGGCCACCTCCGTCCTGCATCACTGACAAAGGGGAACCACGCCGGAAAATCTGGATGATTTTACTTTCTCGGCTAATGCAGGGATCAAACACGGGACCTCCAGGATAGCGTGTCAGCGTCTTACCCACCATGACCCCCAACAATATGTCAAACTGTACTTCTGGACTAACCAGACCCGAGCAACTGCCATTCAAATTTGACTGCTCACATATTTCTATGAACAAAACTGATTAGAAATTTAGCTCTAATGTTGTTATCTTACTGTGAATATATTGGAAAATATAGGCTCCTCTTATCCAATACCCCAGTATCTAAGACAAAATGAACATTTTAAAATCGGCCAATGTTTTCTCTATGCTCTTGAATGCTATTTGTAATGAGACGCCTTGCATTGATGAACAATGCAAAACGTCATAAATAATTTTCATCAAATTAGGAAACTTGTAACTATGAATATTTTGATTTTTCATTGGGGTTTCTTTTATTTGTGACCGCTTACATGGAGATGTTGCTGAAAACGAGTGGCTGCTCATACAGATTCTACTGTACCTAAAATGCTTGTGTATTATAAATTAATTATTGTCAAACACTTGTAAATTAAACACTATTTAAAGGTTTGACCAGTTGAAAAATTGTCAAACACTTGTTAATTAAACACTATTTGAAGGTTTGACCAGTTGAAAAATAATTTATCATTAGACTGTGGGTGATTTTTTTTTTTTGTAGGTGAAAAAATTAATGACTTGTCTATACAGTCTACAAATGAAGATATGATACTAGAAAGTATTAGAGATGAAATACAAGAAATATTACCTGTTACAGCTACAACTAATACAGAAACTATATTAGTACCTAAAGTAGGGCCAGTAAGTTTACCTATATTTTACAGAAATATTTTAAATTTACTTACCTCTTGAAAGTGACATGTTCTGAATCTTGGGTTTCAAATCGCCATATATGCCTGTCATGACTAATTGAGTTACAAATTTACCGAAATAAAATGTCTCGGGGGAACCATCCGTCAATTTACACGCGGTAAAACTAGAATATTTTTCGAAACCCTACTGTCAAATACGGATGTTGTCGACCTCTGCCATGTCCCTATAAAATCCAATGGCCTGTACAGTGTACAGGATATTACACACGTATGGAATCTAGATCAGTACATGATTGGTGTTATTATAGAATAGGTTGTCAACAGAGGATTATACTGAGTTTTTTGTTGATGGTTAATAATGACTGTATAATGTTAATGTCTACTGTAGGCCTGCTTTTTATTTTGCTCAAAGATTGCTAGCTGTTAGTTAGTCTGTCATTTAAATTTGTTATTCAATATATTAAACATGCATTATGCAAGAGCTAAATCTGATTATTGCAAGTCTTAATTTAGGCTTCAGATGTTATAGAAATTATAAATTAGATCTTTATTTAAACAACAAGACCAAAATCAACTCTGTAGACCCACGGATGGCTCGGCTACAGCTCGGATTTAAATAGGATTTCACTAATTGATTAAATCAAATAAGGGGTAACCTGATGAAAATACGTCAGTTAGATCGAGGCTAAATGATAGAGTGTACTTAGCGAGGCCGCTGTAAAGCGTTTCGGTATGCCATTGAAAACTTTACTTGATAATCGAGATATGTAGGTGGAGTTAACGCCCGTCAATCAAACGATCAGCGAAGGTGAAGACACAGTTCGCTACCATTTCTAGGCAAATATTACAACGATGATAACTATGTTCAGAATAAAGTAATTTGACTGAATTTTTCAATATATTCTTCTTTCATCATAAAAATCTCCCATAATGTATCTTTAAGGTTACGTCAGGATTCTGTGTTCAGTAATGCAGAGAGAGATGGTTTAAATTAAAAACCAATATTTGTGAGAAATATGTTGTGGATTCTATATTGATCTCTTATTTTAAAGTTATTGTAATAGAACTCCAAATTATCAAACATCAGTGTCTGTTTTCTATAGAGCACTTCATTTTTCTTTAATCAAAGAAGAAATTTTGGTAATGAAAGCTATTTGATTAGCCAAAAAGTAATATTTCCTTAATAAATTTAAATAAATAATTATTACTGTATGCTAAAATTATATTTCTTACTATCTTAGTCCAATATATAGATCAATATGATAACAAATGAATTCAAGATACAATACCATAAATTGAGCTTTGTAGTGCTGTACAGAGAACTGAATGTTATTGGAAACATAATAATTTATAATTCGATTTCTGAAACAGAAATCAAAAAAATTACCACTGCATCCAAAATCACTTTTTTATACTTCTTTCAATACCGAAAATGGCATTTTATATATGTCTACCGGTATCTCCTTAAAAAAAAAATTCCAAAGGGTTTCATGCTTAGGCCTACCCCTACAGTAGAGCGAGTAGGCCTAAATTGTGAAATTCATTGGAATCTACCTATATAATGCCCCTAAAGTTGCAATTTCATATTTTTAAGTTATATTTTTAAAATTTTATTAAAATAAAGCCTTAAAATAGATGGTATCTATGAACAGTCCTACCTTGTTATAGAATAATCCTATTAATCCTATAATTCACTATTGCCAGTTGAGAAATTGGCAAAAAATTCATTTTCAAACGTTTGAAGATAGCTATTCCATGGGGAAAAACAAGGGAGGTAATTGTGTTATTATTTCCGGGGTCAAAGGATTTTTAAGTGGGAGAATAATACCTATGATCGTATAATAGTGAGTTGACAACCTATGGAGCAAAAGACAGAAATAATTATGTTTTGACTTTCTTAGAAAATATGAAATTATCGCTTTAAAGCATTATTGAAAACGTTTTTGGATTGGGATTTGTTGTATTATTTTTAGATTGGGGTTTGTTGTAGGCCTATTGAAGAAAACCTGCTGTCATAAGTTAACTTTCAAAAATTGAAGACATAGTTTCATTTTATTGAGGATATTATTTTCAAGCATAACAGCCATATCAAGCCATATTCAGAATTTAGACATAAAAAGCAGCACCTACCTTTCAATGTGTCCTTTTTTAGCTCATACTTGTAATTCTACCACCATAATTAAATCTTTCTCTCCCTTTATTATTATTATTCAGTCAAAATCAACTACAATGTGGCATCCTTGCAAGACACAGCTTCCATGGCAAATGACACAAGAACTATGAACACATGTAGAGTAGCAGACGCCAGTTGCATTAGCTATATAAGGGAGATAACCCATATTTGGTTGTTTGGGTACAGACCACCATTAATTCCCCTCATTTGGTGCCAATGGAAGTGGACTCTTCTGTTTAAAGCATATTTCTCCCTTTCCCTTTCTCCCCCTTTTATGTTTGACAATTTGTGTTGATGGATGGAAAAAGGGTTTTGATTTACATTTTCTACCAGGTTTTGGTGAATATGCATGATTTTGCGGTGGAAGGATATTGATTATGTTTGACCTCTTTTATGCTTTTTGAGCAACATATTTGAGTAAGCGTTTTTCACAGTGAAAATGTTGGAAAAGAGACAAGAAATTAATATTGAAGTCAATGGAGCATTCATCAATTGTCAATTTCATCATTAAACACTGAACCAAATACAAAATAAATAGCTCAACTATATATGCATAATATCACAGGTCCTGATTAATCAAGTGTATGTAAAGTAACGTATGTGTAGGTTCAATATAGTTGTATAGTAAAATCAAAATCCCTCAAATGACGTTCATTATATTTGTTGCAGAATGCGGATTGTGATCCAGATATTACAGTTCATGTTGATGCCTTTCTCTATGATGAAAAAGGCATTGATCATTTAGTGGATCAAGGCAAACTAAATCGAAATTTTTGTACAAGATGTGGATCTCAGGATGTACAGCCCTTGAGTATGTTGTTTAAATATTAACTTTATTGTGGCTATATTGTCTCTCATCCGTTTGCCATCAACAATTCCATATTAACACTCAAGAATGACTTAACATTTATATTAGTCACTTGAAGCACCAAAAAACTAAAGTATATTAGTAAGTTGTCACTATGCATATAGACATTGTCACTAATTTAAACCTGAGAATAAAATGTTATTATTTCCAATGAAAATGTATCACAGAACTTCAGATAGTTTCTTTGAACTACAATAAATAGGTCTTAACCAATTTCATTCTCTGAAATATATCTTAGATTTCTCCTTTAAAATTGATTAGAATATTCTATATGTTTTTTATTATAAATTAAAGTCTATATTTTAGAATCAGCCTTACAAAAAATCTCTGGGTTGATTGAGGTAATGAGTTAAGTACTTTTAATCAATACATGATAAATTGATGTTAATTGTTCTATTTCCAGATTTTATAAGTCACTCAACTTCCATCAAACAAATCAAGTATATATTTCAATATTTATTACCTGATCTTAGTAATAAAACTATATTAGATATAGGTTCCAGAACTGGTGGTGTGTTATATGGGGTAGGTAAGACTGTTAATATTATCTTCTTTGATTGGCATTTAGTAATTGAACATATTAACACAAGGTTGAATTTTATGGATACATGATACTCTCGTCTTTATCAAGCAAATGATATGGGTATGTGTGTGAGTTAGTTGTATTTTACGTCTGCTTCCACCAAGGTGATAATGCATGCAGACATGTGAATAGTAGGCAAATATATACAGAATATGCAACAAAATAACAATCAAATACAATTAAAACTTAACACCTTTGATTAGGGGGCCATTTACAACTAAACCTACACTGCGGAAACTCTTAATAGGGATTAAAAAAGGGGGTGAGGGAATCCTATTATTATAAATATATATGTATTAACACTATTAATGGGAAACCAATTAACCTGAGTTATAGATAAACAATATGTAAAAGAGAAGTTTGTATGTATGGAGGTATAAGTGAACAAGAGTGATAGCTAATGCAAGAAAAATAAAAATTATTAATTCAATAAACAGAAAATCATGAAAGATATATGTATTATTAGATTATGAAACTGGATGGGGGAAACCGTAAATATATTAATTCATTAAACTGTAAATCATGAAGGATAAAACCTATTAGACTATATTGTACAACGAGTTCAGACTTATTTTGAAAAAAATATATATTTGTCGCAGTAAAAAACAAACAAAGAAAAAAAAAATACACAGCAAAGAAAAGATCTATAGGAGAAAACAAATAAATCTGGCCAAAATGTCCTCTTTCTAAAAAGTAAAGTGGCCGAAAAGTTATAGGATGAAATGTCCTAGGCCGAAATGTCCACTGGCCGAAACATCCTAAATTCGTATAATAGAGCCTCTTAACCAAATGTTTGACTGACATGGAAAGATGTTTTATTTAATTGCTAAATTAAAGAAAGATTTTATGATGATTAATTTTATAAAGTTATGGCCTTAGTTTTTATTTAGAATCTTGCCAGTGTTCCACTGGATTGTTTTTTTATATTTTACCTAAAGAATCACATTGTAACAATCATTTTGGCCTACTCCAACAACTTACCTGCCTTGGACATATATTTTGTTTTTTAGCAACCTATCTTAAGTTACAAATGCCACTGAATTATTTTTTAGGCCTTTCTATACAGTAACAGTAGAAAAATAACAGGTGTTGAGATTGATAGTTCATTTTGTGAATTACAGAGAACAATTATAGACAAATATAATATGAATGATAGAATACAGGTAAGAGATTGGACTGTTTATCTATATCTTTCTGCAGATGAAAATATCTAAATATACATCAACCAAATCTGATTAAAACACAGATCTTATTTCGTTTAGTCTTTTATAGTTCAAAATTCCATTTTACTTGTCTTTACTACACAAAGATCTGGAAGAGTTGTTTTATAACCTGCGTCTTAGTTCATCAGAGGGATTAGCTAATGAAACGGTCTGTTGCAGTGAGTACTAGAAACATAAACACTGATCAGTTAATCAAATGTCTGACGTCATAGGGCCAAAAGCTGCCCGTATGACCCCTGACGTGACCTCCCAGTACAACTGGTCAGATCTACATGTTGTAGAGGCCATTAAAAGTATAAAAAAAACGAAATGAAATATAGATCTGTATTTTAATTAGATTGTACATTAACCTGATAGCTTGGGCTTCGGTCTGTAGATAATACTAATTGTAGCACAAATATTTGGAGATTTTCTTCAGAACTATTTAGGAAACATTTTTACACTCATTTTAAAAAGTCGTTATTTGGTCACGCGCTTGCATTCATTTTTCAAAATATTTTCAATAGATTATAGACGGTCTCATGTTCTAATGATTCAAGCATGGTTAAATGGACAATAAACCCCCTCTAAATACGTAACAGGAAGTGTTTATCTCCTAATTAGCTGATGATAATCTGAATAATAAAATCAAAGTTGTCTGCGTGAGTTCACCCATCACACTTCGTCGCCACAACCCCCCCCCCCCCCATATGAGGTATCAGATTAACCAGGATGACCCTGTGAATATTTTAGGCCATCGAATTTGGGCCCCAGGCGAAGCCGGGAATTCTGCTAGTGAATATAAATATATCATTTTGTCTAATTTCCATCAGTTATTCTTAAGTCTAATAGAAAAATTCTATAACAGCGGTATCCATAATTTTAAACAGGCTGTCATGTGGCCCACTCAAGAAACATATTCCTTCTGCAGGAGAATGACCGACTGAGGTTAAGATATCAAATTGAGATATTAAAAGGAAAAATAATGATGTAGAAAGTCTATATAATGAAGATTTAATTTGCTTGAAGCTGTAACCAATAGGGTCACTCTGACATCAATTTTTTTAGAAACAATATAAATGTTTTAAAATGCATTAATGTGGTATATTCATCTTTATAGGTTATAGAAGATGATATTTTTAATCAAGGACAGTTGGCAAGTGAAAGTAAGCTTCTATTTTAAAAAATTGAAAATAAGATAGCAGTTTAATGTATGCTAGATTTGAAACTAACATAAATAAACAAATAACAGGAAATTTGTGGGATATTTTTATACGTATAGTGGTGTTCTGTGAGATAGTAAGTTTTTGATGCTATCAAAGATGATTTTGTGATACCTATGATCTTGTTTTTAACCCTTTTTAATATGGATGTATATTGTCCATTGCTCGTTAGTCCCTCATTCTGTTGAGCTGTCCAACTTTTGTTGTGAATGTGCTAAAGCAAAGGTTTTGTCAGATTCATAGTAATCATGTTATGGAAGAACAATATCAAATTTCAGAATCTTTTAATTGTCAATTTCAAGTTATCCCCAGTTACATTTCAATTCATGAAATCTTGTGAACATGATATAAAGCAGAGTTCTCAACAGGATTTTTAAATCGAAATCTATGGAATTGGCTAATATTAAATTTTGAAAAGGTTTTGTCGAGTTATCTTTCCGTTAAAATTATGTATGTTCAAGCCTGTGAACATGATAAACATTAATATATATTTAAAAAGAAATTATAGATAAAATTGTAATGGCTTTGAATTAATTATCAATGGAGAAAAAAGCTTATTTAAATATATTTATTGTAGGTGATATCATTGTATTTCACAATGTTTTTGATTTTTTTCTGCCAATATCAGATCAAGAAAGGTAAGATTGGATTAAATAAACTGATAAAATTACAATTTCTGATATGGTAGTAATACCATGTTAACCAGGCCAGCCAACTCTGTATATTTAACAGTTCAGGCTGTAGTTATCATGGAGTATCAGTAGTTTGAATTATTTGCAGTATTGCAAAAAGAAACACCTGATTTTGGAATTTTTAGAAAATAAATTAGCAACCTGAATATGCTACAAATCTGGGAAAGATACACAGATTCTATTTCATTTCATTTTTTATTGTTTAAAATTTTGTTTTACATGAATCCATGTAGTGGCGACCATATAAGTATAAAAAACGAAATGAAATATAGATTTAATCAGATTGGGCAAGATATAAATGTGACCAGGGAAATAGTAAGAATCAATAACTTGTTTGAATATTTTAATTATTTGAACTGTTTTTTGTTATTTTTTATAAAAGGATGTGGAGATTTGTTAGAAATACATTTAGAAGAAAAGGTACAATAATAATATCAATACCATCTTTGGAGGATATGGTCAGTCATTTACAGGTAGATTATTTATCCAAATCGACAACAGAATCAAATTTTGGAAATCAAAATTACAAATCAAAAGCACTAACTAATGAAAATCTCTACAAGATCCTCAAAATTGTGAAATCCCTACATTGCAACAGTTTTATCAGAATTTTGAAAATAATTTGTCCTGTTGTCATTATGCATAAATTTGATCAAACTTTATTTGTTATTACAGACGGACATAGATTTAGATACATGGGTTACCTGTTTAAATGATCCAGATCTTCTTAATTTAGCTAATATTCATCTTTATGGTAGTGTTGACAATGAAGATTCAGATTTAGCAGATTTATTTATGTATCAAGTAATTGGATAAAAATTATTTTTTCAACCTTGTGTTTGTTGGTTTATCTACTTTAAAAAACAGATTGAATATACACAACCACGGATTGTGTTTCGTCCGTATATGCTGGACATGTCCTACATGGATTGACATAAGTCCAACCACGAATAAACCCAATCGGTCATCAAGGTGAATTAAACTAAAAAATTCTAACAATATTGACTATACTGATATTACTATGAAAACTCGATTATCCGCGAGTAATTAAATGATAACCCAATTATAGTGTTATACACCTACCTTGATCCACTACATATTTTGCCTTGATTTACTACTTCATCTTCGTGATTTCTTTTTTATCTGAATCCTGAAAACAATTTGTTGGTTCTTCTTTATCGGACATTTTAATACCATTGATATCTGTCGACCTGATGTAGAAACCAGTCAAAGTTGTCACCTATCCTAATTACAAAGAGTTGATTATTACCTGTTGATTGAAATGTCAATCAACTTGGCGTCCAATCGTCCGACGTCAATCAGTTCACGATTCAAGTAATTAGTACCGTTAACGTTAATTTTGACAATCTCGTATAAGCTTGGAGATTATTGATAACACGTCCATGGAAATAATCGCGGAAATAAAATGATGTGAATGGCGATCACAGTATTTTAATCAGTAATAATTTCACGTGATGATTCGCCACCACATCTTATTTTAATCATATTCCAAGTCAAAGAAGCATTCACTGGGCAGCAAAATATGTCGTATATACTAAAGATATATCCGCACGAAAGCGTCCCCTATAATTAGCTATTTATAAACACCAATTAGCTTATTTTCAATAATGAACTAAGTTTCCATTTTGAAGTTCACGGCACACGTTACATGATCTCTCATGAAAATCTACGAATTTAATTATTACCATATTTGCCCTTGTCACTACAATATTCGATAATAAGTGGAAGTCTGCCATGCCCTTTGAAGAGCCTATCGATTAAATTTTTAAATATTTTTTTATAGAAAAGGAAAACGATGGTTGGCATCATCATAATAAAAACCGTTTGGGATTTTTTCCGTTTATGAAAATGATGTATGAAATAAAACGCCATGTCCAATACAAGGACAATTTGATTGTCATAGATATGATTTGATATATTATAAGCACTTGAAACCCAAAGTTATGGCATATTTTTTTCACAGTTAACCACATAAGGCGTTTGATAGTCGTGGAGATATTTGTTCTTGAAGTAGGAATAATTGATTTTACAGCCCTACGACCTCTTACTGAACCAGTTGGTGGATTTCAACCAAATGTTGCTTGATTAGTGCTTATTCAGATCTGTTCAAACCAAGTTAATCAGTCCCATACGGGTCGGAGTTCGGACATTTTAACTGGCAAGTTTAGATACATAAACACATTTCTAATTTGTCTGGTTTTCATAATGAACTTGAATTGAATTTGGTTGGTATGATGAATTGATGTTGCTCAACCAGAGTTGATTGGACAGATATTAACAAAAGAAAGCAGTTTTAATATAAAATAAATTTAATTGTTTTTATAATTCATACTATTATTTACATTATATAATAAATATCGCATACAAATGTATAAATAATTGACACTTTTCAACATAAAAAGCAAAGATTTAAATTAATCAGAAAAAGATATATACATTCGGTTTATATTCATTCACATCACAGCCATTGCCGAAATTATAATAAATACTAAAAAATAAAGTTTTAATAAATACTAACAAATGAAGTTTTAATAAATACTAACAAATGAAGTTTTAATAAATACTAACAAATGAAGTTTTAATAAATACTACAAATGAAGTTTTAATAAATACTAACAAATGAAGTTTTAATAAATACTAACAGATAAACTAAGACATAAATTATAACGACCAATAGGTATACTATATACAATATACTATATACATGTACAAACTTGATGACAGGCAGTATCAAACAATTGGAAGCAAAAATGTGAAAGTTTTAACTTCTATAATAAAACTTCTATGTGCATATTCAAATTGAGGTAAAATTTGTTATTCACAATCAATAGGATTATTAGATTGCTTTTCATTTAAATATAGTATTTTTAATTTGTTATTCATTATTAATTAGATTCTATTGTTTTGACCTGATCATTAATTTGAAAATTCTAATTAGATATTCCATTTAGTACATGTATGTAATAAAAAAAAGCACAATACAATTTATATGGAAAACAATCGTGTTATGTTTTTTAATGTGCTCAATTGCTAAATGCCACTCAAGGTTTATAGTAAGTAATATGATTAATCGGATAGAGAGCAGATCTATTTATATTATACATTCATGCTTTAATATTTACAGTAATACTGTTTCAGAAAATATTAAGATGGATGTACCTTTTTGATCACAGAAAGTGCTCAACGAAAAGAAAAATCGAAATAAATATCTAAAACCCAGAATGGATAAGGATAAACATCATAGCTCGGTTTGAATCGTTTAGAATAATACACGGGTGGCCATGGGGAAGGTCTTACGCATACCCAGACACTTCTCACGTTCGATGAACAAACTGTTGTTCTTGACGGACAGATCTTGTTCCAGAGTTGATTTGGTACGAAGAAGTTCTTGTAGTGTGTTCTCAGATTGTCTGAGTTGAGCCTGTAGGTAATCAACAGTTTCACTGATTTCAGATACCTCAGATACCAATCTGAAAATAGAAAATTAAAATATTGTTATATATTGTATGAGTAGTTTAGCACATGGCCACCAAACGACTTCGTGCTGGTGTTTTGTTGCATGGCAACCTAGGGTTAAATTTGAGGGGCCATTCATATTGTTCCAAGTATAACTTATTTATTGATTCTTGGTTGGTAGTCGAATTATGTCATAATTTTCTGACTGACGTACAATCGTTGGCACTATGTAAAGCCAATACATGTATTTTGTTTAAGACCCATTGTCTGATTTATTAATTGCAACGTAATCTAACTCCATTAGAAGTTTACCTGTGTTGTACGGGATCTCTGCACAATTCAACATTAGGTCGACGGATTCTTGTATCCAGGCGAGACTGAGCAACTTGCATCGGAGATACTTTATCTTGGATAGCCTTCTTGAGGATTTCGATATTCTTCTCCATATCAAAGATTTCTTGTAGAACCTATAAGTAAGCAAAAATATTAGAACTGATATTTGATAAACATGGGTGCATGCCTGTTAGCAAACATTTAAGAACTTATGTTAAATACGCTACCCGTAAACTTTAAAGTACTCATTTATTTACTCTGAATGCTGGGGTAAAGTCAGTTCCTGAAGCAAAGACCGCGAAAGCGAGACCAAGCCTTCTATTGAAGATGGGGTAAAGCCACTCATACGCCTTAAAATGTTCACTCATTACATTCTATTGTAAATGCTAGGGTAAACTTATGTTAGAGACGCCACCCGTAATATAGTGGGTGGTAAGTTTGCGGTGATTTAATTCACTCTTCTGGGAAATATTTGACTGATCTATCAAAAGCGTTTGTCCTACCTTTGATAAATGGTTTTGGAGCTTGTTTCTGGCATCAGCCGTGTCTTGCATTCTATTATTTAAAGCAACATTGACGGCATTCCATTCTTGCCACATGTCACTGACACATGTGTTAAGAACACTTTCAATCAGATTTCTTATGTGCTTAGAGGCAGCTCTTTCACTTTGCGATCTCTGAATATTGTCGTTGGTGAACTTGGCCCAGGACTCTGGAACTGAAACACTGTAAAGAAAAATAGAGATTTTGTTACCTTTATCAATGTTCTTTGATTTGGAAATCTTTCACTAAAGAGTAAAATCAATTGTTAGAGAATGCGTTAAAGACGATGCCGGATTTAGATGAAGAGGAGCTCTAGGCTATTCCACTTTTGAGGCCCCTCATAACCCCACAAGGGGTAGATGAAAGTGTATTTTAAACACAACTGAGCTAAAACGGAGGATGATGGGCGGGTGTTTATGCCTACACTGCGTGTAAGAAAGCATTTGACACTAAAAAAGTTACACAGCTTGGGTGGAGACCACGCCCCTGCCCCCTTTATATCTTGAGGGCATAGGTTTCGGCCTTAAGGAACCAAGCATCAGACCGCCAAATCTATAGACAAATCCGGCACTGATTAAAGATATAGTTAAAAGACTTACGTGTTATCAATTCTGTGTACACCATTATGGAAAGCTAAACCACGAGAAGCATTTCTCATACCATGACAAGTTTCATCTAAACTCTGGGCAGCGAACTTGTCACCAGAATCCTTCTCTAATTCGTGTTGGGCTGCTCGGTTTAATCTGTAAAACAATAACATCTTGTTTTACTATTTTCTTCCATATGTACATGTAACTTATTGATTGGTATGTTATGTGTAAATAAAACCAAACGGAATGATATCTCGGTGTAAGAGTCCCTATATTTGCTAATTTAGTTTTACTGTAATCATGAACTATATAGTTGGCGCCATTTTAAATAGTATTTATAGTAATTAATGATTTATTTGTCATTCAAAAGGCTACTCACCCTATTTGTACATTAGCCTGACCAATGACGTCTCGCATTTTATTTTGGCATCTCTTGATAATTTCGACTTCCTGTAAACAAAAATGTTCGTGTATTTCAACTCGTACATGAGAGGTTCCAGTATTATCGAGCTAAGTCTGGGTACCGAGAATTAATGAAATAATGTGGTTCAAAGTCCGCTCGACACTAACAGGCTATTTCAAATTGGAGGGAAATTAGTGTGAACGGGAAAAAACATGAAGTTAGGCAATCGACCCTACTGCATGCCACGTACAAATTAAATGAAATGGACTTTAACGCTCTACGTTTCTGTACCGACTGGGCTAATGAAGAGGGTATAAGCCATATAGTGTGATATAGTGAAATTTTCCCCAGACATTGGCAATACGGCCTACTCCTATATCGAAATCCAACTGTCAAGCGTTCTTCTGTTTTTCGTCCAATCCGAACGACCAGATGCTGTCCTGGCAAGCCCCCCCCCCCGTTCTGCATCATTTACAAGGGAATGTCACCCTGGAAATACCCGGGAAACCCATGTTATGTACAAAATAGGTGTATAGTCAATTGTGATCGATAATAGATAATAAATTTACCTTAATCAGTTCCTTCTCTGGGTTATCATGGACTAGATCAATGGCTTGTCTCTTTTCCCGGTGGTAAAGGCACTCTTGGGCAACTTGTAATGGGTTTTCGGTTTCCGCTAGAGCTTTCTCCATAACTCTCTTGGCTTCGTTCAAGACATTGGTTTCAGCAATTATGTTGTCTGTTTCGTGATTAAGTTCTGTCTTCCAGAAAGAAATATCACCAATTCTATCACCAAGACTCTTACCAACATCGGTTTGGGTTCTTCTGGTCTTGTCCTCAGTTTCTCGGCATAGACGAACGGTGTCAAAACGGACGCGTTCGGCACCACTTCGGACTCTATCAGATGACATATAATTGGTTTGGTTAGAACTGGACCAATCGTTTGGGGTATATCGGGTGTAAAGGGCATTTCTGGAAGCAGCGAACACGGGTGGAGCTTTGAGGCTATCTAGTTGGGAAAGTTGGTTTCCAGTGGAGAACGGCTCGTTCATACTTCTGGTGATTGCTGTCCCGGGGTTGTTCTGTGCTGTTTGGTAGTAGGTGCTGGGCCTCCATGGTAAGTTGGTGAGGGATCTTCTAAGTGGAGAAGGTGCTGGATAGGTATCAAATGGTTTGTAAGATGACTGCATGATGGATGGTAACTGAGTCAGCTGGCGTGGAGCAGATGCGTAGGTAGCAGTTTTTGTGTGGCCCATATACTCCATGTTTCTAAATCGGTCGAAGTTGTTATTTTTGCACAAGTTAACTATACTATACTACCTTAGTTGTTATTTGTGCACACGTTCACTGTTCTATACTACCTTAGCTATTTAACGTGTGCTTCCACAGAAGTGATATCGGAGACAATGTACATGTTCAAATATGTAACTGTTTATATACATAAGGGTTGGGGGGTATTAAAGATTTATTCCACTTATTATCCAATAATTACACGTTGGGATTTGAGATTAAAACCGCCATGTTGTAATAGACAATACCGTAAAACACAAACAGAACCAACAATACAGTAGTCTACAGACGGTAAGGTTCATTGTAATCAGATTATTGGATTTACGTGATACACCATGTATAACAAGGTCCTTAATAACCCTCTCTCTCTCATGAAATCTTGCGAACATGATATAATGCAGGGTTCTCAACAGAATTTTAAAATCAAAACCTATGGAATTTGCTAGTATTAAGTTTTGAAAAAGCTTTCGGTTAACACTTTGTCTGTTCAAGTCTGTGATCACGAGTGGGGGTTGGGTCCTCCGGTTTCCTCCCCCGGGCTAAAGACCCCTACCCGCTAGCGAATTATTGAAATAAAATAAATTGAACAATGTTAGTCCTGAAATGACCTGGTTTGTGTCCAGTGGAGTTACCCCCCCCCCCTCACTCTCTCTCTCTCTCTCTCTCTCTTCTCTCTGAACATGGTAAACATTTATAATCTATATTTAAAGAGAAATTATAGATAAAATTGAAATGGTTTTGAATTAATTATCAATGGAGAAAAAAGCTTATTTAGATATATTTATTGTACGTGATATCATTGTATTTCACAATGTTTTTGATTTTTTTTTCTGCCAATATCAGATCAAGAAAGGTAAGATTGATTAAATAAACTGAAAAAATTCCAATTTATGATATGGTGGTTCTACCATATTACCCGGGCCAGCCAATTCATATATTTAACAGTTTACAGTTTACTCTGTAATTATTATGGAGTATCAGTAGTTTGAATTATTTGCAGTATTGCAAAAAGAAGCACCTGATTTTGGAATTTTTAGAAAATGAATTAGCAACTCCTTGAATATGCTACAAATCTGGGAAGGATACAATCTGATTAAAACAAAGATCTATTTCGTTTCATTTTTTATAGTTCAAAGTTTTGTTTTACATGAATTGATGTAGTGGAGGCCATTGAAAGTATAAAGTATAAAAAACAAAACATACTACAGATTTAATCAGAATGGGCAAGATATAAATGTGACCGGAGATAGTTAGGATCAATAGCTTGTTGAATATTTTAAGTATTTGAACTGTTTTTCTTTACTTTTTATAAAAGGATGTGGAGATTTGTTAGAAATACATTTAGAAGAAAAGGTACAATAATAATATCAATGTCATCTTTGGAGGATATGGTCAGTCATTTACAGGTAAATTATTTATCCAAATCCACAACAGAATCAAATTTTGGAAATCAAAATCACAAATCAAAAGCACTAACTAATCAAAATCTCTACAAGATCCTCAAAATTGTGACAGTTTTATCAGAATTTCGAACATGATTTGTCTTGTTGTCAATAGGCATAAGGGTGGTTGGATGGCCGAAAGGTTAGCACGTGCGCGCTGTATCATAAGGCCTATCATTGAGTCAACTGGCATGGTTTCGAATCCCCGGTTGTACGTGACAAGGTGTAGGATCGCCTGTCCAACCTCGTTGGTTTTCTCTGGGTCCTTCGGTTTCCTCCCACTTCTAAAGACCCTACGCGCAAGCGAAGTATTAAAATAAAATTAAACCATATGTTAGTCCCGGGTCTATAACAGGGGTTTCGTTTTGTCCGTATATCTGGACATGTCCTGCGTTGATTGACATAAGTCCAACCACGAATACACCCAATCGGTCATCAAGGTGAATTAAACTAAAAATTCTAACAATATTGACTATACTGATATTACTATGAAAGGTAAATTAAACTAAAAATTCTAACAATATTGACTATACTGATATTACTATGAAAACTCGATTATTGATTTGTAATTAAGTGTTATACACCTACCTTGATCCACTACATATTGTGCCTTGATTTACTACTTCATCTTCGTGATTTCTTTTTTATCTGAATCCTGAAAACAAATTGTTGGTTCTTCTTTATCGGACATTTTATTACCATTGATGTCCGTCAACCTGATGTAGAAACCAGTCAAAGTTGCCACCTATATCCTAATTACCTCAATCAACTTGGCTACGATTCATCTTTAACGTTAATTTTGACAATCCTGTATAAGCTTGGAGATTATTGATAACACGTCCATGCAAATAATTACGGAAATAAAATGGTGTGAATCGTGATCACAGTATTTGCGATGAAATACGTCACGTGGGTCCAAAGTTTCAACTAGAATAAATAATGTACGCTTGGCACATTGGCCGAACCATTATTTGAAATATAATGAACTAAGACTCCATTTTGAAATTCACGGAACACGTTACATGATCTCTCATGGAAATCAACGAATTTAATTATTATCATATTCGCGCTTGTCACCGCAAGACCCGATAATAAGTTGAAGTTTGCCAAACCCTTTGAAGAACCTATCGATGTAATTTTTAAATACATTTTTATATTGAAGTAAACGATGGTTTGGCACCATAATGAAAACAGTTGGGGATTTTTCCGTTCATGAAAATGATATATGATATACTATTCAAAAAAAGTAGGGGATATTTGATTTTGGGGGCATAATACTAAAATATGCAAATGACTACGAAAAAAGTCACTATAGAACCTAACAGAAGAAACATTTCCAGTTACATGTGACGCCCAAACGCACCAATAGCTACCGCATGGAATGCAAGTGATGCTTGGGATCATCATGGGGGTCCAACCCAAGATTTGCACGACTCTGACTTTGAATGTTACAGTCATTGTGGCATTGAATTCCAGGGTGGAAACATCAGTTTAATTGTTTTAGTGACCAGAAAACAAATTTTGATATGCGTCGGCTTACCCAAAATGAAAAGTTACGTGCCCTTGGCATGCTACAGATCGGCACAACACAGGCGGTTGTGGCGCGGACGATGAATGTTTCTCAGTCTGTCATAAGCAGGCTATGGTCCAGATACCGTGATACACAATCTGTACAGGACAGACCACGCTCAGGTCGACCAAGGGCGACAACTCAAGCCCAGGATCGATTTATCCGTACCTTGGCCTTGAGAAATCGTGTCATCACAGCAAATCAGATCAGCGCTCGTCTTCAAACAGACACTGGTGTGAGAGTGAGTGGCCAGACGATTCGGAATCGACTGCATAGGGGTCACCTTCGCGCCCGACGTCCTCGCGTGATCCCTTGTTTGAGAGATCATCACATTCAGGCAAGACGTCGTTGGTGTAGGGATCGTCAACACTGGGATAATCGACGCTGGAGCAATGTGATGTTTTCAGATGAGTCAAGGTTCACTGTTGATTTTTTGGACAGACGTAGGACGGTGTGGCGTCGTCGAAACGAGCGCTTCCAAGACGTTAACGTCATCAGACATGATCGATTTGGGGGTGGTTCTGTTATGGTGTGGGGAGGCATCACTGTTGCTGGAAGAACGGCTTAACATGTTGTTGCAGGGCGTGTTACAGGCCAGTACTACCGGGACAACATCTTGGCAGTCCATGTTGTGCCGTTCGCACGACGTCATGGCCGCCGTTTCATCTTCCAGGATGACAACGCAAGATGTCACAGGGCCAGGATCGTTACAGGTTACCTCCAACAACAGAACATCACCACATTACCTTGGCCAGCACTGAGTCCCGACCTCTCCCCCATCGAGCATGTCTGGGACATGCTTGGACAGAGGTTACGTCAACGTCAACAACGTCCTGCCAATGTCCAAGAACTTGCTGCTGCGTTGCAACAGGAATGGGACAATCTGGACCAAAATGACCTTAGACGTCTCATTAGGAGTATGCCACGTCGGATCAATGCTTGTTTGGCAAACAGAGGAGGATTTACCCGTTACTGACTTGGTTGTGATGCTGTGGTAACTTTGCTGTTTGACCCCGGGTATCATTTTACCCTTATAATGGTCTGTGCCTTACTTAGTCTAACGATCATTTGGAATAAATCGATGAATGTGAAATTCATTTCATTTTGTCATTTGTTTCTTCGTCAGTTTCATTAGGTGACTTTAATAACACTTAAAAATCAAATATCCCCTACTTTTTTTGAATAGTATATAAAACGCAAAGTCCAATACAAGGACGTTTTGATAGTGATCGATATGATTTCAAACATTATAATCACTTGAAATACGAAGTTATGGCATATTTTTCCACAGTTAACCACAGAAGGCGTTTGACAGTCGTGGATATATCTGTTCTTGAAGTAGGAATAGCCTGTCATTGATTTTACAGCCCTACGACCTCTTACTGAAACAGTTGGTGGATTTCAACCAAATGTTGCTTGATTAGTGCTTATTCAGATTTGTTCAAACGAAGTTAATCGGTCCCACAAGGGCGGTGTTCGAACATTTTAAGAGGCCAATTTAGATATGTAAACACATTTCTATTTTGTCTAGTTTTCATAATTTGGTGGGGATCACGTGGCTAAGTGGGTAAGACGCTGGCTCGGTAGCCTGGAGGTCGGGTGTTCGATCCCTGCATTGGCCGAGAAAGTTCATCCAGATTTTCCGGCATGGTTTCCCCTTGTCAGTGATGCAGGACGGGTAGCCTGACAAGGAGAGCTGTCTAGTCGTTCGGATGGAACGAAAAACCGAGGTCCCGTGTACATATTGGCGTGCACGTAAAAGATCCTTTGGCAGTTGGAATTCGATATAAGAGTAGGCCGTAGCGCCGCTGCCCGGGCAAAATTTCCCTCATGGTACACTGTATGGCGTATGTCCGTCTTCATTAGCCCAGTTTAGGAGCAGAACAGTAAGACGTTAAACCCCATTTCATTTTCATAATTTGGTGGGTATAGTGAATGGATGTTGCTTACTCAGATTTGCTCAACTGGAATTGATCGGACAGATATTAACAAAAGAAAGCAGTTTTAATATAAAATAAGTTTAATTGTTTTTATAATTCATACTATTATTTACATTATATAATAAATATCATATACAAATGTATAAATAATTGACACTTTGCAATATAAAAAGCAAAGACTTAAAATAAATCAGAAAAGATATATACATTCGGTTTATATACATTCACATCACAGCCATTGCCGAAATTTTAATAAATATTAAAAAATAAAGTTTTAATAAATACTAACAAATGAAGTTTTAATAAATACTAACAAATAAAGTTTTAAAAAATACTAACAGATATACTGAGACATAAATTATAAAGACCAATAGGTATACTATATACAATATACTATATACATGACAGGTAGTATCAAACAATTGGAAGCAACAATGTAAAAGTTTTAACTTCTATAATAAAACTTCTATGTGCATAATCAAATTGAGGTAAAATTTGTTATTCATAATCAGTAGAATTATTAGATTGCTTTTCATTTGAACATAGTATTTTTAATTTGTTATTCATTATTAATTAGATTCTATTGTTTTGACCTATTCCGTTTTTTTGATAATGCTAATTCCAATTAAATATTCCATTTAGTTTGTAATATAAAATAAACACAACACAATTTATATGGAAAACAACTGTGTTATGGTTTTTAATGTGCTCAATTGCTAAATGCCACTCAAGGTTTATAGTAAGTAATATGATTAATCGGATAGAGAGCAGATCTATTTATATTATACATTCATGCTTTAATATTTACAGTAATACTGTTTCAGAAAATATTAAGATGGATTTCCCTTTTTGATCTCAGAAAATGCCAAACGAAAAGAAATATCGAAATAAATATCCTAAAACCGGGAATGAATAATGATAGCTCGGTTTGAATCGTTTAGAATAATACACGGGTGGCCATGGGGAATGTCTTGCGCATACCCAGACACTTCTCGCGTTCGATGAACAAACTGTTGTTCTTGACGGACAGATCTTGTTCCAGAGTTGATTTGGTACGAAGAAGTTCTTGTAGTGTGTTCTCAGATTGTCTGAGTTGAGCTTGTAGGTAATCAACAGTTTCACTGATTTCAGATACCTCAGATACCAATCTGAAAATAGAAGAATTAAAATATTGTTATATATTGTATGAGTAGTTTAGCACATGGCCGCCAAACGACTTCGTGCTGGTGTTTTGTTGCATGGCAACCTAGGTTTAAATTTGAGAGGCCATTCATATTGTTCCAAGTATAACTTATTTATTGACTCTCGGTTGGTAGTCGAATTATGTCATAACTTCTGGATGGCTTACAATCGTTGGCACTATGTAAAGCCAATACATGGATTTTGTTTAAGACCCATTGTCTGATTTATTAATTGCAACGTAATCTAACTCCATTAGAAGTTTACCTGTGCTGTACGGGATCTCTGCACAATTCAACATTAGGTCGACGGATTCTTGTATCCAGGCGAGACTGAGCAACTTGCATCGGAGATACTTTATCTTGAATAGCCTTCTTGAGGATTTCGATATTCTTCTCCATATCAAAGATTTCTTGTAATACCTATAGGTAAACAAAAATATTAAAACTGATATTTGATGAACATGGGTGCATGCCTGTTAGCAAACATTTAAGTATGGCGATTATTTAGGGTGTTATTTTTTTTTATTTGATTATTTCTGTAGTTTTGTAATCGGAGTTCAGCTTTAAAGACACTACCCGTAAACTTTAAAATACTTATTTATTTACTCTGAATGCTGGGGTAAAGCAAACTTATCAGATACCAATGTTCACTCTTTTATTGTAAATACTAAGATAAACTTGTGTTAGAGACGCCGCCCGTAATATAGTGAGTGGTAAGTTTGCGGTGATTTAATTCTCTCTTCTGGGAAATATTTGACTGATCTATCAAAAGTGTTTGCCCTACCTTTGATAAATGGTTTTGGAGCTTGTTTCTGGTATCCGCTGTATCTTGCATTCTATTATTTAAAGCAACATTGACGGCATTCCATTCTTGCCACATGTCGCTGACACATGTGTTAAGAACACTTTCAATCAGATTTCGTATGTGCTTAGAGGCGGCTCTTTCACTTTGTGATCTCTGAATATTGTCGTTGGTGAACTTGGCCCAGGACTCTGGAACTGAAACACTGTTAAAAAAAATAGACATTTTGTTACCTTTATCAATGATCTTTGTATCGGAAATCTTTCGTTGAAGAGTAGAATAAATTGTTATAGAACGCGTTAAAGACGATGCCGGATTTAGATGAAGAGGAGCTCTAGGCTATTCCACTTTTGAGGTCCCTCATAATCCCACAAGGGGTAGATGAAAGAGTGTTTTAAACACAACTGGGAAAAACCGAGGATGGGGGACGGGTGTTTATGCCTACACTGTGTGTAAAAAAGGCTTGTGACAGTGTGAAACATATTATACAGCTTGGGTGGAGACCACGCCCCTGTGGACTTAGGTTTCGGCCTTGAGGACCTAAGCTTCAGACGGCCAACTGTATAGGAATATCCGGCATTGATTAAAGATATAGTAAAAAGTTACCGGTAGACTTACGTGTTATCAATTCTGTGTACACCATTATGGAAAGCTAATCCCCGTGAAGCATTTCTCATACCATGGCAAGTTTCATCTAAACTCTGGGCAGCGAACTTGTCACCAGAATCCTTCTCTAATTCGTGTTGGGCTGCTCGGTTTAATCTGTAAAACAATAACATCTTGTTTTACTATTTTCTTCCATATGTACATGTAAATTATTGATTGGTATGTTATGTGTAAATAAAACCAAACGGAATGATATCACGGTGTAAGAGTCCCTATATTTGCTAATTTAGTTTTACTGTAATCATGAACTATATAGTTGACTCCATTTTAAATAGTATTTATAGTAATTAATGATTTATTTGTCATTCAAAAGGCTACTCACCCTATTTGTACATTAGCCTGACCAATGACGTCTCGCATTTTATTTTGGCATCTCTTGATAATTTCGACTTCCTGTAAACAAAAATATTCGTGTATTTCAAATACTAGTATATGGGAGGACCCAGTATTTTCGAGCTAGGTTCGAGTACCGAGCATTAATGAAATAATGTCGTTCAACACTAACCAGGTTATTTGCAGTTGGGGGAAATTAGTGTGAACGGGAAAACACGAGGTTGGACAATCGACCCTACTCCATGTCACATACAAAGTAAATGAAATGGACTTAAAGGTCCCACTTTTCTGCACCGACTGGGCTAATAAAGAGGGCATAAGCCATATAGTGTGATATAGTGAACTTTTGCCCAGACAGTGACAATACAGCCTACTCCTATATCGAAATCCAACTGTCAAGCCTTCTTCGTTTCTTTTTCGTCCCATCCGAACGACTAGATGCTGTCCTGGCAAGGCACCCCCCCCCCCCCCGTTCTGCATCTCTTACAAGGGAATGTCACCCTGGAAATACCCAGGGATTCCCATGCTATGTATAAAATAGGTGTATAGTCAATTGTGATCGATAATAGATAATAAATTTACCTTAATCAGTTCCTTCTCTGGGTTATCATGGACTAGATCAATGGCTTGTCTCTTTTCCCGGTGGTAAAGGCACTCTTGGGCAACTTGTAATGGGTTTTCGGTTTCCGCTAGAGCTTTCTCCATAACTCTCTTGGCTTCGTTCAAGGCATTGGTTTCAGCAATTATGTTGTCTGTTTCGTGATTAAGTTCTGTCTTCCAGAAAGAAATATCACCAATTCTATCACCAAGTCTCTTACCAACATCCGTTTGGGTTCTTCTGGTCTTGTCCTCAGTTTCTCGGCATAGACGAACGGTGTCAAAACGGACGCGTTCGGCACCACTTCGGACTCGATCAGATGACATATAATTGGTTTGGTTAGAACTGGACCAATCGTTTGGGGTATATCGGGTGTAAAGGGCATTTCTGGAAGCAGCGAACACGGGTGGAGCTTTGAGGCTATCTAGTTGGGAAAGTTGGTTTCCAGTGGAGAACGGCTCGTTCATACTTCTGGTGATTGCTGTCCCGGGGTTGTTCTGTGCTGTTTGGTAGTAGGTGCTGGGTCTCCAGGGTAAGTTGGTGAGGGATCTTCTAAGTGGAGAAGGTGCTGGATAGGTATCAAATGGTTTGTAAGATGACTGCATGATGGATGGTAACTGAGTCAGCTGGCGTGGAGCAGATGCGTAGGTAGCAGTTTTTGTGTAGCCCATATACTCCATGTTTCTAAATCGGTCGAAGTTGTTATTTTTGCACAAGTTAACTATACTATACTACCTTAGTTGTTATTTTTGCACAAGTTCACTGTTCTATACTACCTTAGCTATTTAACGTGTGCTTCCACAGAAGTGATATCGGAGACAATGTACATGTTCAAATATGCAACTGTTTATATACATAAGGGTTGAGGGGTATTAAAGATTTATTCCACTTATTATCAAATAATTACACGCTGAGAGTTGAGATTAAAACCGCCATGTTGTAATAGACAATACCGTAAAACACAAACAGAACCAACAATACAGTAGGCTACAGACGGTAAGATTCGTTGTAATCAGATTATTGGATTTACGTGATACACCATGTATAACAAGGTCCTTAATAAATCATGTAATTTATTAATGATTTAAAACACGGTAACTATAGACCCTTACGTTGACAACAAATAATCTTAATTATATACTGGTGCAATCTACCGTTTATTTTAACATGACCGGGTTTCAACAACTACATAATCGGACTATTAATTGTTCGAATTCAATCCCCGGACGAAGGATTATGATAGGTCATAAATCCACTGCATGCCAACACCGTTAACTTGTTTTTTTTTCAGACAGCACTTGAAACTCTGAAGTAGATGATCTCCTTTTTTCTATACTACGATGGCGAATGTCAAGAGTCAACTTTAAAAATCTTTCTAAAAACTCACTTGCAATTGTTAACTAGAAAGGATAGACACCTGACTAACAAAATAAACATATTTCATCAATTATCTGAAAACTTCGTTAATTTTAGACTCAGGGGCGGCTCAGGTCTGGTAGTATAGCTGTGACGTCTTTTACGCATACATTAATAAACTCTAGCGATTGAACGGTTATCATTATTTTTGTTAGAATCGGAGCCGAATTTAGATAAAGAGAGGCCCAATGCTACTTATGATCTCCTCCCAATTCCCCACCCTCACGACTAAAGGAAGGTAAAAGGTGTTTTAAATGAAATGGGCGGTTTAACGCCCTGCTGTTCTGCTTCTACTGGGATAAGGAAGACGGACTTAAACGGAAATGAAATGAAATGGGGTTTAACGTCCTGCTGTTCTGCTTCTACCGGGATAAGGAAGACAGACATACTCCATGCAGTGTGTTATGAAGGAAATTTTGTTCGGACAACCGCGCGCAACGGCCTACTGTTATATCGAATGTGTACACAGGACCTCAGTTTTTCTTCCCATCCGAACGACTATACATTGTACATATTGCCAATATCAGGAGGGGATCACGTGGCTAAGTGGGTAAGACGCTAGCTCGCTAGCCTGGAAGTCGGGTGTTCGATCCCTGCATTGGCCGAGAAAGTTCATCCGGTTTTTCCGGCGTGGTTCTCCCTTGTCAGTGATGCAGGACGGAGGGGCTGACAAGGGAAGCTGTCTAGTCGTTCGGATGGGACGAAAAACCGAGGTCCCGTGTACACATTGGCGTGCACGTAAAAGATCCCTTGACAGTTGGAATTCGATATAAGAGTAGGCCGTAGTGCCGCTGTCCGGGCAAAATTTCCCTCATAGCACACTGTATGGCGTATGCCCGTCTTCATTAGCCCAGTATAGGAGCAGAACAGTAGGACGTTAAACCCCATTTCATTTCATTTCATTTCCAATATCAGGATACATATCCTAGGCAATGAGGGAAATATTTCATCTTATCGGGTTGACATTATTACGACTGGCAGTGCGGCAGCCGTCCTGGAAATATTTTCCATTTTGTATTCGAATTTAATTTCAGAAGCAATAGAATGAAACACGTACGGAGAGTTTGCCCTTATTGTCGAAATGTCATTTTGTGGGCAACGTTTAGTCGTGCGGATGGAACGGAAAACCGAGGTCCCGTGTGCACATTGGCGTACACGTAAAAGAACCCTTGGCAGTTCCCATTCTATATAAGAGTAGGCTGTAGCGCCGCTGTCCGGGCACAGTTTCCTCATAGCCCAGCCGGAGCCGACCAGTGGGACTTTCAATTCCATTTTCCCATTTTATATCATATCATTCTGTGTCATTTAACCAACATGCCCATTTGCCATGCCCCACCCCCTCCCCACCTTCAGGTTGCTCAGTGTTATAGCCACTGCCCCCAAGGTTCACAAAAATTTAATATCAAAATCAATAAAAATCATAATATGACATAAACTTTATGTCAACTTGAATAAAACTGCTTTCTAGCGAGATACCGATCGGCGAACAACTATATTCTATTGGGACGCCCAGTGTTATAGCTAGTATTTTGTTGACATTCATTGTCCTTTGGGATTGTGGATGGCGCCCTAGATTTGGAACCGCCCCCCTCCCCCACCAACCCACCCTCAGCTTCTCGCTATACTGTAATGTGTGCACACGAAAATATGGGCGTATCAAAAACCGTATACTATTTTGCTTCTGTTGCATATGAAATTAAATGAAATTTAATGAAATGGGGTTTAACGTCCTACTGTTCTGCTCCTAACATGGGCTAATGAAGACGGACATACGCCATACAGTGTGCTATGAGGGAAATTTTGCCCGGGCAGCGGCGCTACGGCCTACTCTTATATCGAATTCCAACTGCCAAGGGATATTTTACGTGCACGCCAATGTGTACACACATCCGAACGACTAGACAGCTGTCCTTGGCAGGCCCTCCTGCATCACTGACAAGGGGAAACCACATTGGAAAATCGGGATGAACTTTCTCGGCCAATGCAGGGAACACCCGTCCTCCAGGCTAGCGAGTCAGCGTCTTACCCACTTAGCCACGTGATCCCCCTGTTGCATATGAATGAATGATTATTGTGGGTGGGTGGGGGTGTCTATTCAGTCATTATATTTGACTTTTATGTATGTGATTGCAGTCTGTTGTTGCGTGGGTGGAATGAGAACGAGTTGTTTGTGATTATGGTAGGCTCGGGGCCCCATGAGAAGTGAATGTTCTCAAGTATTTTGGGACCCTTTTAGCCTTGAATTTCCGTTTTTGATGAATTGTTAAACAAAGCTGTCTCTGGTGGTTTTGTACTTAGGATATACTCTATTTGTACTTAGAGAGAACCCCTAGATTACATCCCGGTGATTTTGATGAACAGCCAGAATGAACTTTGATTAGTGGTGAACTTGTTCAAATTCCAGAGATAGTATTAATACAGTGCGCTACCAAGGGTGGTATCGGTTACAAATATTTCCTAGGAAACTTGCCAAAAATAAACGTGCATGAATGAGAGCTAAGTCTAGCGTAAGTTACATTTGAAGGACGAAAAGGGAATTCAGAGTCTCTATTCCATGGCAAGCCAATCTGGTTAAAACACAGATCCTATTTCGTTTCGTTTTTATAGTTCAAAATTTCGTTTTACTTGTCTTTACTACACTTGGATCTGGAAGAGTTGTTATTTAACAATGAAACGGTCTGTTACGGCGAGCTTTAGGCGTGTTTTGCACGGAACAACGGGTAATCCACTAGTAATATCAATGCTGATT